GTATTTGGCGAAAAATTACGATAATTTGCTTCCTTATATTGGGAAAAGGTAAACTAAAATGAAAAAAAGCAAAAAAAAAGAACAGTGACAAGAGCATTTAAAAATAAATGTCTATAAAAAAATATTTAGGTTCACTCTTCAACAAGGCCTTTCCGCGTGGTACCATCACCCTTCAATAAAATATTTATCAAATATACAAAAACTTATAGACCAAGACATAGGTACTTGTGCATATACTTCTTTGAATACTGAATTAATACAGGCCCCACCACAAACATTGGGGCGGTTACGCGGTAAATGACCTGCGCCGAAACGGTGTCACACACACACAAAACATGACGATACCACTCACAAGCAAACATTAAATTGTATAAATTTGCTATCTCAACATATTGTAGGTAACATTTTGCGCGCATGCCGACGCAATTGGCAGCGCAACATTTCAGTTGCGTAACTCAGCCAATTCCCGTTAAATCTGCCCCTAATTTTCGAAATTGTATAAAATTTTACGCATTCATGCTGTACATGCAAGGATTGTAATTTTAATCATTCCTAAACAAAATATTATACATATTCTCCTAACAGACTTATGATTTGACTGATTAATTTTATAATGGGTTGCTGTTATGATGCTCGCAGTCCCTAATATCCCAAAGTAACGCCGAGAGACAGGTTACGAAAGCAAAACCGATGAACAAGTTGCCGCTGATATATAATTAGATTTTTTTATGTTTCCTCTGAATCTTAACCGCACCAGAATCTCAGCACGCGTCTCCTTTGACACCTTATTAAATATAAGTATGTAACGACGAATTTTATGTGGATGATGATGGAATGGTGAATCCACCTACTCTAATGCGCTGGCGAGGCGCCAGTGAAGGATAAAAGGATGAGAATGAATTCAGGTCACTTCAGGTCAGTTATATTAGCTCATCGTGGTAAATTCACCAGGAATTTGCAATGATATCCTTATCTCTTTGGCATGTGGAGATTAATCTATTAGTGTGCGTACATATTGATAGTAATAAACAACAACCCTTAACTAAGATTAACAACTATCCCCCATAGTACAAAATATACAGATATAGAGTAGCTATAACTCTATGATAGATGGCGACTATATAATATAAAGTTAAGATAGAAGAAAGCTAAGATAAATTTGCCCTCTATCTTGTATAATTAAGTAAAATATGGGTAACGTCTATTCCAATCCGAACATTTCTCTAGGTATAATACCAGCCCAAGCACTTCACATAAATATAATTTGTTTAAAACTCTACAATTACTTAGCTGTATAAACTTTTAAAAGACCAAGAGGTACCCTCTTGGTTTTCTTTGGTACGCTCTTGAAACAGGCACTTGCATTGTTGTGTATGTGGTTTATCTACATAAGTGAGAAGAATATAATTTTATTCTTGTCGCTATAAATTGCGAAATAATTTGTTATAAAAATTATCTGTTAGCATTCTTGTGGAAGACAAGAATATTCGCATTGTACTCGTATAAGTGCGTTGGCAGATATCTACGTAGAGTTAACATAGAGTCGCTTAGTCATAGTGAACTTAATAAAGGAAGAAAATAAAGGAGAAAATATATTTTACTTACTATACATAAAAAGAAACAAATAATGAATACCTACTTGGATAATAAATTATTCTTGTTAATTTTATAAGTAACATAACAACATATTATATAAGTAATATAACAACATATTAATTATTGTGTATACTTGCTAACAATACGAGTTTTGTTATCAAGTATACACAATAATGGATGATTAATGACTAATAATTTAATCAACGAAAGTAAGTCATAGATTCTAAATTATTATGCACATATTTAGGTAATATAAATTAGCTAAAACGCTTAATTTTGATGAAATCTTTTATTATGAGGAAGCCTGACATTACAGCGGAACTGGCCAGTGGTCTTTAGGTTCACTCTCTGCTATGCTATATCAGGGTTGCCAACTTAAAAACACTGGACTTGTAGGAAGAAATAAAAAATCTTGTCTTTTTTGAGATAATATATCTCGAATTGGCTCAAAAATATGTACAAAGATTGAAACGTCCTCGTGTCGAAAGCCAAAACTCTTGTACGTGTACAAGGATCCACGTACGATTGGCATCCCTGTGTGGTATCGTTGGCAGCGTTCTATTCTGGTCACATCAGTACATCGTCTCGCAACGTGTCACCATAAGAGTGTCCATATTATCTCTACGGTAGAAAGCAATTACTATTCACTGTGTTCAATCGAAATACATGCGTTTACACCACGTCAAAATAGATCACTATAGTATTATTACACTATAAAATATACTCAATGATGAAGTTCATGACGTTTTTATTACTTTATACGATAATTAACGCCATGATCATACTGATATAGTACTAAACATACATCTACAGAGTTCATTGAAGACTGCTACGAGTATCTACTTATATATACTTGTTACAAAGTATAGATTGTTTTACGATGATTTTCCAAAGACTTCACTAATTTACCACACATATTTTACCTTATATTATGAAGACTTTGTAGAAAGTCGTCTGAGTGTGTACACTTGTCTCATCGAATTTTACGGCTAAACAGAATGAATTTTCCTATATAAAGCATGAAGTATGTCATTAAAGTTAATAATAATAATATTAACCCTGAATTCACACAGCGCCATGTAGTCCCAACATAAGCCGAACTCGTGTTAGGGTATCAGACAACTCATATATAATATTTAGACTTAATAAATATACTATAATGTGTATTATAATAGGTGATATGTTACCTCACATACACATGTTTGTGTCGTGCGAGGAATTGAAACTGCTAACGAAATATAGTAAGGTGGTGTGCTACTCCGCAAGACCGCCAAGGCCGTAGGTAACACGGGCATGATATTTATGACATATATCTATCTGTATCTATATATTATGATTACTACTCTGTGGTGGTTGTGATACTACTCATAACAAGTGGAACTATTTGTTTACTTAAATATCAACTATAAAGTAGCTAATATATGATTAAAATGATATCTAATTTAGAATTAGGATGGAATGGTTCACCCCAATTTAATTAATTATTTAGTTCTTATACTATCAATCTGGCCATTAGCATAGCATGGAGTTATGTTTATAAGTAATTGTAATATTATAAAAGATAATGTTTTACAATTCATTCAACGCCATCTAGGACGACATTAAGCAAGGCTTGTACTATGCTAGAATACTTTTTTTTGTGTAGTGCGATAATCACAATCCTCGTAGGGGAGACCGGGGCTACAATTAACAGAGGCAAGTATTAACAAACTAATTTCTCTAAAACTATACATACTAAACATACAACGCCTGCTTCAAGTCGTTGCCTAGATCACGCCACGTGACCGTTTGATCGCGCCAACTGTGGAGGACCACTTTTTTGAACATTTTTTTTACAATTTTTTGATTTATGCTCACAATTTATAATATTATGTTTTTTTGATAAATAACTTAATAATGCCATATAACTCAATTGACAAGATTTTTATAAAATATTTTTATTATGCTATTTAAAACCAAAAATGTACCCTTCTAAAATTAACAAAACGGCGGGGTAAGTATAAACGTGTTAATATATATCAGAATAGTATTAACAAGGTATTCGACTGTATACCTATGTATGTATAGTCCAAAAACATGAAAGGGTGATTTCTGAATAATACGAAATTATTTATGCATTCCGAAGCAAAAGATAAAAAAATATAAAATATCAACGATTCTTTTTACTGCCGATTGCCTGAAAACTACTAATGTTAATTTTGTGTAATTTGGTTACCTTGATTTCTTATTAGAAGTTATATTTTACTTACAAACTATATATATATAAAAAATATATAATTTTACGTCATTAAACATGCTATCTGTACCTACTTATGTGAACCAATTGAGAATAATTAGTTTTTGCCTGTAATTTGTAATGTCAAAATATAGCTACTTCTATATTGATTTCACTTTCATTAATATAACAATATATCCTAAACCTATAGACGTTTGGCCTAATTGCTTTTGAGTCTTCGACAGAAATAGAAAGAAAACAAATTAACGGTGACTGTATACTGGATGACATGAGAGCAGGGTCAGTTTTAGCTGTTATAATAATATATGTATGACAAATAATTGCTAATGTATGCATACTACAATATAATTATTACATTTCGACCTGTATGTATAGTCCAAAAACATTAAAGGGTGATTTCGCTACGTAAGTACAGCAAAAGTAAAAAAATATAAAAATATCAACGATTCTTTTTACTGCCGATTGCCTGAAAACTACTAATGTCAATTTTGTGTAATTTGGTCAACATGATTTCTTATTAGAAGTTATATTTCACTTACAAACTATATATAAAAAAATATTATTATCATTAATTCTGACGATAGATATTAATGAAATTGTACAAATACAGGTTAAATATTAATAATTATAATAATAAAATTCTTATCGTGATATTTATTATATTTAATATTAAAAAGTTCAAAACAGTTATATATTAATATTATAATAAAAAATTCTTCGGTTACAAAATAACAAATAATAAAAAAGTTCAAGAGAGGTATCTAGATATAAAAAGCGGTTACCTAAACGATAAACTGGTTAAATTTAGTAATCTCATTACAAGTACCTAGGTAAATTATAAAAATATTTAATCTATTTATTACGTTTAAAAGATTTTAGATGTTTTGTTTTGTTGACGTTCTGCAATTTACTTTTCTGTTTTTGGTGGTAGATGATAACAAATTTTAGTCGTTATGCCTAATATATGTTATGAATTTTAAACAAAGATTCAGTCAAAGAGTCATTTTGCTTCAGACGTTCTGCAATTTAGGCTCTGTGCATAGATAGTAGTTATTTACGTAGTTAGCACTCCTGTAGGCTTCTACGCAATAGTTAATAATTGGTCATATTTTGTAATGTAGCTACATTAAAAATACCGCTTTATTAAATAAAGTTTTCCATATTTCAGGTTTTGTTAGCAGAACTCAAGGATACAGAATACTACTACGCGGTAAAATGTTTAAAGAAAGACGTAGTTCTAGAAGACGACGACGTTGAGTGTACACTAATAGAAAGAAAGGTTCTAGCGCTCGGTACCAATCATCCGTACCTTTGCCACCTCTTTGCGACCTTCCAGACTGATGTAAGTATTAATTGTATTTATTTATTATTTAATCTTTTTTACAATAGGCGGGCATACTGAGCCAATTAGATACTGGATAATAGACTGTTACTGAGGTAGGCTTTAATTATAAAAAGCCGTTTGCGTTGTTAGGTATTTCTGCCGCCAAGCAACTCGCGTGTTACTCTGTATTTCATTTAGTAGGGCGCATTATGTTTTAATGTAGGTATAAGGTGACATTGCAAAATTATGGACGGTAGCGCAATAGTGGTGATATTTTCATAAATTGCAACAGTGATGAAACACTAGCTGTAATATTTACAATAGATTTACAGAATGGCGATTATTCATTAATAAATATAATATTGCACGAATGAATATACTAATATTCTATAACTCAATGCTGTAAATAATTTATTTGAATTGAAAACGCTTGTTTTACTCTAAAAATTAACATATATACATATCATATTTTATTTTCAGTCTCACCTCTTCTTCGTGATGGAGTACTTAAACGGTGGTGACCTAATGTTTCACATTCAGCAAAGTGGACGGTTTCCAGAGAACCGGGCGCGATTTTATGCGGCAGAAATTGTATCGGGCTTGAAATTCCTGCATAAAAGAGGCATTGTCTATAGGTAAATAATATTAACAATATTAAAAAAATCTAAGATTTATGTAATCAAAAAACTCTATAACACTCAGAATATATACGACTGTCAAGAGAGTCTAAGGCATATATTTTCTCTTACATAGTAGAGAAATAAAGTGACTAAAAATTAAATATTAACAAATAAATATCTACTTTAAAAAAAATACTTTTCTTTCCAGAGATTTGAAATTGGATAACATTCTTTTGGACTTCGACGGACACGTGCGCATAGCTGATTTCGGCATGTGCAAACTACAGATCTATCTGGAAAAAACAGCGGACACGTTCTGTGGAACACCAGATTATATGGCGCCCGAAGTAAGATCCAATTCCTACATAGTAAATTACAAAATAGATTGTACACATTCATACAATCATCATCTGCTTCTTCCTTATCCCATTTATTTGGGGTCGGCGTAATATGTTTTTCGCTTCCATTCATCCCCGTTCGCAGTCATCGCGTTATTTACTTCCTTTCTTACCATATCATCTTTCACACAGTCCATCTATCTCTTATTCGGCCTTCCTTTGCTCTTATAACCACCCACATTCATATGTAACACCTTTCTTAAAATATTATCCTCATTCCTACGCATTACATGCCCATACCATGATAGACGATTACTCTTCAACCTCTCTGACACCGGTGCCACTTTCATACTTCCTCTAATGTATTGTATGTACACATTCATATAAGTGCCCTGGTTATTAAGACCTGCTTTACTCTTTTATTTCCATAGTGAATTAATTCTAACACAGTAAGCTGTTCCATTTGTAGTATTTACTACTCTAGAATGGCAACGCGTGAGTGATCACGGGTGTCCCATGATAACGTGATGCTTATATATATAGGCTACTGCTTACAATCAGCTTAACCGTCAGTTTCAATTACATAAGAATTTCTGATAATAAATACCGATGTAGCTTTCATTTCCATGAGCATATTTTCTTACATTTTCTGGCTACTAAACTCAATGTGATATTTTCAGATAATCAAGGGTCTAAAATACAACCAAACTGTAGATTGGTGGTCCTTTGGCGTTCTCCTGTACGAGATGTTGATCGGACAAAGCCCTTTCAGTGGATGTGATGAAGACGAGCTGTTCTGGTCGATCTGCAATGAAATGCCGTCGTATCCTCGTTTCCTTTCGCAACAAGCGCTAACCATACTCACAAGGGTGAGCACATTATTTTATTTGTCAAATATTAATGAGTTTTTTATTTAAATGATAATAAATAACTTTGTTACAAATTATTTTATTACAGCTATTGGACAAAGATTCCAAGACGCGATTGGGTGGAACCGAATGTATGCACGGAGATGTCAGGGACCAGGAATTCTTCAGCCCGATCCACTGGGAGAAACTTGAAAGGAGGGAATTGGAGGCACCGTTCAAACCACGCGTAGTTAGTATTTACAATAATATTTTAATTTATTCACAATTAGTCTCGTATTGAAATATTTTCAAGCGCTTCCAAATTACATAACTTACTTGTTATTTTCTAATATTTATACTTTTTTTCTGTTTCACGACTTAATAGCTGCGCAGATCTTTATGTAATTTTTCATGAGGATAGACTATATCGCGACGAATGACAGGTTATTCTATTAATAAGTCATATAATGTCTAATAAAAAGTAGACGAAATCGCGACTAATATTACAAATAGATTCTGCAAACTACTATAAGAAATGTAGGTAGGTAGTATAACAATAATGGAAATTCGACGATTTGTCGGAAGAATACATTTTAAAATTTATTACTGATGAAAATCTCTACTTCTCCTGTTTTGTTCCGGCAATGATTTCAACTATCTGGATTTTCTGTTACATACCTATATTTATCATCTAAATATACAAGGTGAATGACCGATCAGTCTGTGCGTCATATTCATGGAAGAAAATACTTTTTTGCAACAATAATATAAATATATTGTTTCCATGAATATATATCATATTCATGGAAGAAAATACTTTTTTTTTGTTTAAGTGTTTTTGTGGAAATTTCTAAACAAAATTCATGAATTTACGAATGTGGGATCCCCAAAGCTTTTATTCAATATTTATATATATGAAAAGAAAATAAGAGGTAATGCTCTTGTCTTACCCATAATAAGTAGGTGAGACCTTGATAAAAAAATTTCGCAAGAAATTGAAGAGATAGGACTACTCGTAGTTCACTCTGATGAACTGTATACACGCACTACATATTACTCCGCATTTATAGTAGCCAATGAAGTATAGACATATTGACTCATATATAAAAAAAACCATTACAGCGACACCCATTGGACACGCAGTACTTCGATCGCGCATTCACCGGCGAGCGTCCCCGTTTGACAGCCGTCGAGCCGCACGTGCTACGTTCCATGGACCAAGGTCCCTTCAGAGGATTCTCTTATACCAATCCGAATGCGACAGATCGTTAACTACGAAGATTTGTAACAATGGATGTGGACATTTTCAGTTGGCCGACGTCATATGGCGACAGCTGGCGTCAGACTGATGGATTTGAGATAGAACTGAGTAGGTCTCTACACATCGAATCCTAGAACATTGGACTCGGTATGTGAATAGATGAATAACACGTACATTGCTTATTTAAAAGACGTGTAAATCGAGAGTACAATTTGAAATTGATATTATTCGGCTCAACGATTGGCTGATTTAATTGGTGAGCAGTGCTAAAAAGTTTTAAGACCTATTAATATGATACACTTATCTCAATGTAGGTTACATTTGAATATTACATACATTAAGTGTCTGGTACACGATTTGTAGTTTTAAATGTATAAAGTTCTTTAATTAAAATAAATTAGACAATAAATAACTTACAGTGTTAAAGAAATAAAAGAGATACGGTTTCCTTTTAATATTCATTTATTAAATTTCCTCTTATTGATATACATATACATAGCAATATATCATAGGAGGATATTTTAGATTACATGTATTCTGTTTTACCATTATATATTAAGTTTAATATTAATATACGAATTTGAAACTTATCAATCATAATTGAATGTAGATATAATGATTAATATATTTATTTTTGTTGTATTGGAAACTGGATTTCTAAATAGTAAATGTGAATTGATTAGTTTTCATAGTTGATTAAAATGAATCTGCGATGTATTCATATTGTATTGCATATCATAATAATTTAAATAATATCTTTGGTTGTATATTGTTTGTTAAAAATTTAATAGCAAGTAAAAGCCTAGTTACAAGACTACCTATTCTATATTTTTATTTATCATAAAATCGAATTGAATACTTCACTATAAAGCTTACCTATAATATCCTAATAATTAGTGTTTCTATCAAACCTACTGACAATCATTGTGAGTACAAGTATTTATAATATCATACCACTTATATTAATATATATATATATATATATTATAAATGCGAAATGTCTGTCTGTATATTTATTAAGTTTTCAAGACTAAACCTAGATGAATGATCAATCACGGCCATAGGCCATTCATTTCAAAAAAGTAGACCAAGCCGCGCTTTATTACTAGTGTCTATACAAACTAGTACATACTTGTTATATCGTTAGCTACATAAAACTCCTTGCAAGTAAAAAGCAAAAAATAGTAGAAAACATCTTTTGTCTAGTTTTTATGTATGATTGAATTGAAAAAAATATTATAATGAGTTTTTGTCACTATTTCTCAACTGAAGCAAATATAATGAACGATAGAGAAAATTGCAGTAGATATAAATTTCTAATAATATCCTATACGAATAAATAATGTTTTTATTGTTACTGCGACGTAATGACCGCGTTATATAATATAAACTTGTCGTTCAACGAAATCTATTAATAGGTAAGCAATATGTCATACACTTTATTCCGAGTAGCTATAAATAAGTGATGGGAAGCTTCTGTCTCGTGAACATCCAGGCCTACAACTGACAAATCGTCGCATTCCGGTGCAGCAAAATCTCGCAAATACAAAATTTTATCTGGTTGGCCGTTCTTTACCATTTTCTTTTGTATACACAGTTCAACCTTTAAAAAAAAGTACATAAAAGTTTAATTCGAATGTAATACTGCAACCAATATCCGTGATTCACTAAATTTATAGACAATACATATATCGATTTATATAGGTATATTTTGTCCACAGCAATACACTTACTAGTGAACTCGACAGACGGCGTTGTGTGCGGAAAAACAGCACTACCTTTCAGACTCAATTGTTTTCAAAATATCACATTGAAACATACACAAATTTTCATCAAAATCGGTTCAACCGTTTAGGAAGAGTTAGCTGACAAAATTATATATTACATTAGCTGACAGAGCAAACGTCGTTTTACTATATAAATTATTTCTGAATAGAGTCTTATCACATAGAGATATAAAAAATAGATAACTTATTCTCAGACAGCAAAAATACACCAAAAAAATCATTATATCCGATCAAGCTATTTGAGACAGAAATATCCCTCTGGATAATTAATACAGCGCCATCAAGTCCCACGGTAAGCAGAACTTGTGTTATGGGTACTAGACAACCGATATAAATATTTAGATTTTTTTAGTCAATACATACATAATAATATACATAAAAAAACACCCAGACCGATACAACAATCATACTCAGGAATACAAATGCACCATGCGAGGACTCGAACCCGCGACCAAGTAAAGCGGTGTGCTAAACTGCTATCAGAGGTCACCGACCACCCAGAACGTTGAGACATTTATAGTATACTAGCTGTCCGCATGGAATTTAACTTTAATTTTTCTAAAATAAAAGTAGCATAAGTTACTTCTTATTACATTACCTACCGGCCAAAAAAAGTCCCGTCAAAATCGATCCAGCCATTTCAGAGATTATCCGGAACAAACAGACAGATAGACAAAAATGTATATTCATGCATGTAGTAAAAAACGGTTATTTAAATATTACAAACGTCAGATTGTAATATTCAAAATAACCGTTTTTAGTGTCTACTCCAATTTCATTTATATGTATAGATTAGACTAAGATTTTGCATGCGTGGAATGTACCTTTCCATCTTCATATCCGAGAAGCAACGCTTCCGAGTGAATCTTCACACATGTCAATCCAGGCCTCTCCAGCAACACGTGTTCATCGTCGTCTACATTTAACACAGTACATTTCGACTCCATGTCACTCGGTACTATAAATTAGAAACAAATTTCATTAAGTGGATCAATTATCTGAGGACATCAGATAAATCACATCTTAAAATAACACTAGACTATATTTTACCCGATATTTTTATAAATAATAGTTGTACTTAATATTAATGATATTGTCTATATATACAGGGTTAATTTTAAAGGGTAGACCAAGCCAAAAATCCTTGATGGTAATCATTACTGAACCACCTTCACAAAAAAAAAAAATTAATACCTGGACATGATTTGTTTTTTTCAAACTATACTGTACATATTTATCATGTGACCGCGAAATTTGTATAACGTCTTTAAATTCATTTTCGACTATCCAATTTGCTTCTTTGGCAAAATTATTCGATTTCAACTATGTATATTTCCTTTATGATTAACCCTGTCTATTTTCTAAGGTTAAAAATATACAACTCTTACCGGAAACGATGAGGCTGTGTTTATGAAAGAAAACAGGAGTTATAGTTTTTGATGCATAACTTGGTAAAATAAAATGACACAGTTTCTCGAAATATAATGCCCCAACATCTATAAAGAACACCCTACCCCAATGGCAAAGTGCGTATAGGCGATCCTGATACGAATGCAACGTGACTAGGGAAGTACAGTTGCCATAATATCGCGCTACAAGTTTAGTTTCCCAAGTATTTTTAGTCCACATCAATTTCCATAGAATGCCTTTATCACAAATAAAGAATGCTTGATCCTTTTCAATCCTGTAATAAAATATAATTGTATAAATAGTTAAATATATTTTTTTATTCAACCTAACAAGGTACAGTGCTAGTGTAATGGTGGCACAAGCTTTCATTACTAACAATCCAGGGAGGAGAATGTATCCTGACTTGGCAATATTAATCAGAATAGAACTTAACAGGAGATGTTGTGGTCTGCGCAACAATTGACATAGTCACATGCCCATATTACGCTTGGTATATTTGAAAATGAATCTGGAATTCATTAGGTTTGTTTGTCAGTATGTCTGTCGTCGGGAAGTCAGCCACTAATATATTTGACTCTGAAACATTATTTTCCCAAAGCTTTTTTTGGTGATGCTAGATCATTAACTTCAGACAGAACAAGAAAACTTTTAGGTCATGAAGCTTTTATATTTCCTTTTTAAATATAAATATTTAGTTTTCTGTCACCGACCAGTGCCACCATCTCACAATTTCTACAATAGCAAAAAGTTAATAAAATTCTTGATAGTTACAGAAAGCAACTAATGTCAGTCCTCGCAATTATTGATGTAATATCAGTCACTTCACTAATATTAAAGTGCGCATCACTACCAGTTATTTTACCAATTAAAATTATTTGTATTTTCTTCTTCTTACTATCATGAACCAACATTGCAATAAAATATTCCGTCTCTTCAAAGTAAATACCTTAAAAAGAAAAATAAATCACATAGAATTCTTGTAGTATATACTCATTTATTCTGGGCAAATGTGTTCTATAAAACAACAATAATAATTTCGGAAATATATTCTGTATCTGTTTGGCTGTAAGGATGTATGTATTAAATAAGTGGTATATAAATATTATATGCTGTATGTGTAGGCATTAATGTATATTCTTATAATCAATACTTATATACTAGTTACTTAATACAAACATCCTAACATGGCAAAAAAAGATTTTCAAAAAATATTTTATTTAATTTAAGGTTTACAGTCTCTTTTCAAGCTATTTAAGATACATAAATGACATGCCATATAAACTAAAGATGCCAAATATGTGTATCAAATCCCAAGTGGCAATAGTTATATGTAAAATACATATAACTATGAGCACAGATATTTTACTTTTACACAGATTTACTTACACTGTAGCTCATTCCCTGTTATCCAATCATGACCCATAACTGAGTAATATTTCAAGCATTTTTTTGTACATATTATAAGAAAATCTGAAACAAAGAATAAAATCCCATCATTATCTAAGACTGAGTCTTAAAAATTATCTTACGAATTGTCAAATGCATGAAACCAAACCAAAGATGGACCCAAACCAAAAAATCAAAGGTTGCAATTCCAATAATAAACCCATGACTCACAAAACGCCTATTAAACTTAAATAGTCAAAACCTCAAAATAATAATAGGGACAATAACGGGCCGCTGTCCCTTAAACAAACATCTGTACACAATCAGTGCTTCAGACAGCTCCCTTTGTCGGGGCTGCTTTGAAGCTGAAGAAACGGCCGCACTCACATAATGCTGGAGTGCATAGCAGTGGTCACACAATGAACACAAATCCTCGGAAGAAGACACCAGGAGTCTTCTGCGCATCTTGGCGGAGCTTGGCTGGCTACGTTAGTAGTCTCGGCTCTACATGCACAACGGCCCAAATGAGAGGCTAATTGTGGAAAATGGAGTCCACATTACATTATGTCAAATTAATAAGATTACTTTGAGATTATGTATTAGTCAACAAATGTAAATACAAGTAGAGTTGTATGGCTCACATTTGAAATGTCAAATGTCTCACAATTGCAATTGATGCACTCAGATACACAATTACAATTGTGCAGTAATAATGGTTACAACACCTTATATAGTACAATTCAATATTGTTGTTTGTTCACAGTTTATATTTATACAAAATCAATATTAGTGTAACATTGCAATCTAAACAAACAAGTTTGTACCAGTGCAATAGATGCTACATAATCAGAATATTATTAATGTGTTTTAAAGGACAATTGCCATTGAACTCATTATATAATACGGCTAGATTTTTTCTGATGGGCTTGTCAGTTTATTTGCTATAAGGAGTAGTAAAAACAATGTAGATAGCAGGAGCATAACTATACTATCTAATTCCCTATATAAAAATACACACATCACTAGTAGTTAATAATAATTTTATTAACACTGCAGAAAAAGTATAAAAAAACTGTATTTTATTTGACTTATTACCTTCATATACACTTATAGTCTTAACATCATCCACATCATACTCATAAACCTTTTGTGTAGAGCAAGAGTTCACTTTAAACCATAACAGGGAGTTTAAGATGATATTCAATGGATCCTCTTCAAATTTGAACCTATTTTTAAAGTTATCATACTTGTATAGGCCTTCTTCTGCTATTTTTGTGTATCCTATATCCTGTAAATACATTAAAAAAATCTTGTGAAAATTTTCAGGCATGCATACATCATAGTAATTTAGTAGTAAAATAGTAAGTATGAGTATGTTTGTGTATTAAATTAATATAGAATTAAAATATCTAACTTATAACTCTAAAAAAAATATAATTACAGATTGTTTTTTTTAGCGGTACCATATAAATAATATTAATCACATAAATTTTGTCATATAGAGTTATTAACTCTAATTAATATCCATCTAAATATAAATAATTTAATAATACAAATTATAATGTTTTCTTGGGGTACAACTGTCATTATATTTTTAACTTTATTTGCCACCAAATTGAATATATAAAAAATTAACTTACTTCAGCTATACATTTTGAAAGTCTCATCCAGTTTTTGTTTACAGACATACAGGATATTAGTGAATTATAATCTAAATATTTGAAAATTTTCATGAGTATTTCTGGAGGACAGTCATACCAGATTGAATGACCGGTATCTTCCATATTGCTGTTAATTTACTGCTTTTTAATTTTATAATAATTAATTTAATTACATTAATAGAGTAATATTAAATTTTTATATTTATAAAAAATTAAACACTATTGAAGTATTTTGCGGAGATGTGAAGTTATAAACGGTAAGCATAAAGGCTATTAAAATTAATATTAATTTTTAGATATATTTTATTATTATTAATATAAATCAAAGAATATTAAGAATATACTATTCAAGAGATATGAATTACAATCCCTTCTCTATTTTAAATGGCCGCCACCAATTTTAATCGATAAATTTGCCTTTGTTGTATTTACTAGACACTCCTTCAGTCCTTCTATATGGGCTGTGCTGTCACAAACTGACAGACTTTGACATTGACCTTAACGTTGTCAAATATGTTGCTAAATTTCATTCTACTACTTCTTTTCATCAATTAGGCATCTTATCGACTTTACGTTCACATTAATTCTATCATTTTATGTAAATGTACCATTTCACCATCTTCACTAAACTTGTAATTGTGATTATTGTTGTTTATATTGAGACTGTCGAGAAAGTCGCAATGACTTTAGCACAGACTAAATAACGGCGCACGTTGCTCACAAAGTGACAAACGAATGACATCTTCAATAAGTTATGCATGTCTGCCCGCTATTTAAAATGTTTTATAAATATTAAATATAAATAATTCCAACCTTATTTAGTAGTATAGAAATCTGAATGTTTGAGTTTAACCGCCAGTGTTAAATGTTGTATATAGTAGTACTATAAGGCAATATTTACAGCAAGGAACATAATATTTACAGTATTGTGTGTTCAACTATATAAATAATACTTTGCAGACATGGTAAGTTTTTATATCATTAATAAACATTGGTGCCTTTAGTAACTTTAAATAATAAACAGTGGTAAATACTGCGTATATATCAGAATGGAGAAACAATTATGTCTATGTTCAAGTTATTACTTGTATGAATAGTGATCACAGAACACAATGACAGTGATCCGCTGGCGGATTACTAGTACAGTATAAAACTATGAGGGTAAAATAAAGTCATTTAAACTATTGCAGTGAAGTGACCAGGATATAGTCATCATAGATTTGTTGTTAAGAGTAGTTCATACTTGACTTAGCAGCATATATTCCAGTTCAGTAGATATAGCAATATCCAACATCTTGTTCTTTCTTATAGGTATATTTTATTTTACACAGGGTATATATAATGTTCTCAAAATATATTATAAATACTATTACAGAATTTTTAAGACTGGAGAGTGAACCTAGAGCAAGATACTAGTTGATTTTTAAGTATGACTACTGGAGAAAGTATCCTAAAAACAGTAGTAACAATTTATTTCTTGATAAATATTGTGTCCCATATTTATCAAGAAATAAATTGTTATGGCACTTTTATGATCACAGTCACACTTTGTATAACAAAAAACAATCTAGCAGTAATTTTATTTGTTAACTAGCTGTATCCTAGTAACTAGTGTTTAAAACTGAGCTATCTATTGACCTACTATGTGGGCCCTTATGTAACTAAATTTAATGCAATTTATTTAGTTGTCAATAATAAAACATGCTTTTTCTTTTGCAGGCAAGAAATGCAGAAAAAGCAATGTAAGTATTTTGTGAGATTACTCAAATAATTACTTTCATCGTTTAAATGATATTAAAGTTATTTTTAAGTAATCAGTACATTTGTTTTACTAATTACTTAGTTTATATCCATTTTCTGCTACATACATCTACATATTCACTTTCTGACAAATAGATAGAGTTTTATTTAATGTACACAAATATACATTTTGCAGGACCACTCTTGCTCGGTGGAGAGCTGCACAAGTACAAGAGGCTGGTGGCCAACGAGAAAGACGCCCATACCTTGCTTCAGAGTGTAATGATCTACAGCAAGCTGAAAAGTGGCGGCTGCAAATTGTTAGAGAAATTGCGAAAAAAGTTGCACAGATTCAAAATGGTAGCTATGTTACAATAACTTATTTCAGTAAATTACATGATTTTATTATGTGTGACAGCCAATCAGTATTTTATATATATTTAATTCATTTATTTGGTATTTAATTCAATTATATATATTTAATTCATATATATTGTATAGCATTGTTGCACCCCAACAGAGTTCATGAACTTTTGGCATGTATAAATACTTTAGAGACTATTGTATAATCTGTAAACAACTATAAATAATAAATAAATAATGCTGGACAAATAACATCTAGTCCCATGTTAAGCAGAGCTTGTGGTAAGGATACTAGACAATGGATATAAATACTTTTTTTTATAAATACATACATAATATACTTACATAGAAAACACCCAGACATATACAAACAATAATACGCATGAATACAAATTTTTGCACCATGCAAGGAATGGAACTCATAACCTTAGGAAGTAAAGTGGTAAATCGCTAGACCACAGGGGACATAAAAGATACACTACTAACTATAATGTTACAAATCTAAATATTATAATGAATATACCTCATTATGATTATTTTAATCAATTAATCCTGTTAGTATAGAGCTTAGAAAACAATATTATATATTAATTGCTTCTATGATTATACATACTTGTATTAGGTGTACCTTGTTTTAATTACGGCTTTTATGTTTTGAATGACTTTCTAATTTGGAATATATTTATTGAAATCTATTTGGTCATGTTTTAAATTTGATATTGCTCATAAATTCTGAGAAAATGTATACACAATAGATTAATCACAGTTTCTGATTCAAAGAAGTTGAAATTTATACTAATGGCAGCCCCTTCCATCAAAAGTGACTTAAAAGAACCCAGTTTGCAATTCCGAAATGAAACAAGTAGACTTACACAAAATGAAGCTAAAACTCAAGCTCAAGGTTCATTTTCTGGTAAAGATGTACCCATGGCAGTCTCTTTGTCTGAGTCTCCACCTTCAGCTAGTCCACAAATTCTAAATTCTGGTAAAGCAATACTGAGAAGTAATGGTAGTGATAAACTCTCTGTAAAATCATTTAAAAGCAATCAAAAATCTCCAAGAAGTTTAAGTTATAAATCAGAAAATACGGAAGATATGCTTAAAAATATAGTTATCAATCTCGAACCGCAGGGAAAAGAAATTAGTGATCATGTGGATGAGTTAAAGGAATCGGTCAGGGCACTTTCAAAGAACATTGATTGTCCTCAGTCACCTGTATTAGGCACTAATGTCGATAAAATAGCTGCTATGGGAGAGATTCTAACAAAAGAAGCCAATGCTTTAAGACAGTCAATAAAAAGTTTATCAGAAGATATCGCTAGAACTAAACAGGATTTATGTATAGAAAAGGAAGATGTTAATTTTCCATACCATTTATTTCTGATTGAGATAGTTATAAACAAGATCCAAATGAAATGTGAGTGTTTCGATATAGACTACAATAATCTCGTAATTACAGCAAGCTTTTTGGGCAAACAACCAATAACGTTGTACGATGCATCATATGGAAAAATAGATGATTTTAACAAAATGAATGCCGGGAAATCAACATTATTTGCAATGACTTATGATAAGATATGTAGTATAAAAGAGTTTGAAATAATGTTGCAATTAACGAAACAGCCACCGTGCTCAAATTGCGTAACTAATATAGGTGAAACACACATGGACTTCACAGGCGAATTTAATTCGCTTCGAGAGGAATTATGTAAGAAATGGACAGAAGAACAACCAAACGATAACATATTGTGTACCACATCAACACCACTGACCAAAAATTTATATTATTTATCTTGTGGTAATGAAAACAATGTAGAATCCATAGGTGTAATTGAAGTAACAGTTAGAATATCGTTTCTTGGTAAAGAAATTACAACGGCTTTCTGTTCCCCAAAACCACATGGCGCCTCATTCCTATTAAAAGAAGATAATGGCATGACAATGTACTCTTGTCACAAGGTAGAAATGGACGATCATGGGAAAATACTATTGGATGAAGATGTACTAACAAAAAAAAGGTCTCCTTATCGCCTTACTAAGAGAAGCGAAAGCCCAATATCTCAATTATCTAGCATGTCTTTTAAGCGCTATATAGATCCTCCTTGCATGATGTATACTAGTCATCCAGGTATTAAATTTTAAAATAGATTATTAGTCCAGTAAGAACATTTAATTATTCTCTGATTCAAACCTTAAAAGACAGCCTTCCGATAACACAATAATTGTATTGATAGCCATAATACGTCTTTTGTATAAAGGCCTTGTCTAAACGCCTGGCCAGCACAAAACTATCTTAATCACTAATGTAATATAATATAAAGGATATAATAATCTATTATATAGTAACAGCAGTGCTTTTCCTTTCCGTTTTGCTAATAGTTAATTAATGTCTATTTTCTATTCTATTCTAATATAACTATATCAGATTATTATCGTTTTGTTGACACCACAATATTTTTTTAATACATATAAGTAGAACTATATCTTCTATTTTAAATATTTTTAGAAGAAGCACGAAAAAGATACGATGAAATTTTCACTAAAATCAATGCAAATGAACTGAAAATCAGAGTACCAAAAAGTAATAGAGTAGAACGAATGGGGAAATACGATAAGATACAAGAGCTATGCTCATGTGAAAGCACACCATACAATGCTGGAGAACAGATACAGTTTGAAATGCCGCCGGATCTTTGTAAACGTGACAAAACACACAACACTTATTCTTCTAATTTGAAATATACATACAGAGGTTGTGACAACACTTGTGGGAACAAGGATAACAAGATTATAAATGTAACTCCTACGACTTGTACAGTTCCTGTTGAAATGGAGAAAGTAATACATCCACAAAAAGATGTTTTTATTTTGAAAATTGGGAAGAAACTGGAAACAAAAGATAAAAAGACTGACCTAGAAATAGAACTTGTTACACCAAAAGGACCTTCAGTGAAGCCAATTGAAAATAATAATATCTCACAGCAATGTAGTCCTAGTGAAATAGCCATTACCAAGAAAACAAAAACAGAAAAAAAGAAATTAAAGGGCAAAACTAAACAAAAAGGGAAGACTGGGAAACCAAAGAAAAAATAAAACCCAAACATTCCTTTCTATAAACATTTGAAGTGTCATTGCTTGCATAACAAATAAAAGAAGCTGCATAATTATGTTGTAGTCATAAAATATTAATTGAATCTAATACAATCTGGTTTAATTTTCATATTTAGTTCATTTTTATACAGCAATAAATATGGAACGTCGCGACTTGTTTTTTATCGAGATATCTATGAATTGTCGTGTGCAAAAACTTCGAAGTTTTGATTATCTCTTACTTACTTTTCTCTTTGGTCTAACAATAAGTGCTACTATACCATATTCACTTAGATTAGTGACTTTTGTCACTGATCTAAATAAAAATAATGCTCGTAAAATTATATTTATAAATATTAAACAATGTAACTAGGTGTTAACAATTATTACATAGGTTTCATCGACTAGTGTTTAAATATAAAACACTTTTTTGCGCTGTTGTTGAGTAAACAATATTTATAGAATTTTTAGTCTTTTTTTTATTAATCCATTTCAGACCTAAACAAATACATATAGCAACATGTAATATTTTTTTATATGCCTTTAGCTGGTCTCGGCGAATTCCGGATTCGTGACTTGAATGATGAAATCAACAAGTTAATGCGAGAAAAAAGACATTGGGAAGTCCAGATTAAAGCACTCGGCGGACCAGATCACGCCCGAGTCGGTCCAAAAATGCTGGATCAAGATGGAAAAGAAGTTCCTGGGAATAGGGGTTACAAATACTTTGGAGCCGCCAAAGATTTACCAGGTAGGATTATTTTTTTATTACAATATACTACATTACAATTTTAGTAATTACTACTACAAAAAAACCAAAAATCGTAACATAGTATTTTCGCTTGAAAATGTACAATATCATATAGAACAAACAGTTATATTATTTAGAATCTAGGGAAGCATCTGCCATTATTATCGTTCTATTGTTATAAATTATTAGCTAATGAACATTTATAGTGATCCTGTGAAGCTGAAGAGGCTCTTGTGAATTCTATCGCATTATTATTATAGACTAATCTACTACTCCATTATTAAATAAATCTAAATCAGTGAAACTAAAGTATTTTAATTAGTACAAATCAAATCATAAAAAATATTTGTTCATATAAGACCTTTCGGCATCATACATTGTCTTATTGCTTAGCTGAGAATGTATATTGTTTAATTTTAATTTGGTAAAAATTGTAAACAGTATTAATTTTTATAGCTGGGAAGAACTAGGAAGAAGTTCAATGGGTAACTTTTATTATTTTTTAGTCAATTTCTGCTTTTTGTACAGTAATATGTAATTACTGTAGACTTATTTTGTGATTTATTTTGGAAAGCCTCTTTATTATGATCAATTATGTTATAAAATCATTATTATACAAACGGTTACTGTCAAAATCTTAATTAGATTTGGACACATTTGTTTTTTGTGTTGCATTGTTACAGTATGTTGTTTACACGGATTTCCTGATCTTTAATTTTTATGCTTATTGTTGTCAGGTGTCAGAGAACTATTTGAACAAGAACCACCCCCGCCTCCACGACGTACAAGAGCTGATCTCATGAGAGATGTGGACGCAGATTATTACGGCTATAGAGATGACGATGACGGTCTACTGCTGCCATTAGAACAAGAAGCTGAGAAAGAAGGTACCAAAATATTTGACTACAATAGTATTAATTAATTAATAGAAATACACTACACCAGAATAATTATTATTACACCTTCACCTGCAAAAGTTATTGGCTATTGATAGTACACTGCTAATAAAATATAAGCTTATTCTTGGACAAGTAGTCCCTTACAAAGAAAGGTCTTATATACGTGAGACAATCTTAAACTATGCTTATAATATATACGTGGTTTTCTGTTGAAAATTTTACTATTGGATGTCTTTTTCTATAGCCAATCTAGACAATACAGAGCAATATATGCTCTGTAGATTTTCGTACTAGAATACGAAGTAATAAGCAGTGCGATATTTGGCACCAAAATCTTTTATAAATGCGTAAATTTTTGTCATGCAAATCTAAGGTCCAATTCCAATTTCAGCTATAGCCAGAGCTGTGCAGGAATGGAAAACAAATAAGGAACAAAATAAAGAGCAAGACTTACCAGAAGAAGAAAATATTTATCCTGAAGACGTAAGTGAAATACTACTAATTAAAGGAATACATATGTGTGTGCATAGATAATGTCTATATATACGTACCTACTCTCAAGTACAATGAAAAATTGATCTCAGGGTAATTATAAAATAAGTGGACAATTGGGAAACATTCACACGACCTTCGGGTTTTTTAAAGGTTTCAGTTTTGGAAAAATATTTAACCCTTTCTTTTGCAGCCGGATGATAAGAGGATAGACGATGATGAAGAACCAAGCAAAACCACATCGCATGTAGCAGTACCATCGCAGAAAGACATAGAAGAAGCTCTGCTGAGGCGAAAGAAACAGGAATTACTAGAACGTTACGGATGTTTAGATGTTAAATTAGAAGATAGCTGACATACAAATAAAAAATAGTATATAAATATATATTTTCATTTATTTCGCTAAACATACAGTGATTACTTTATTTGAACACATAATTTGATATATAGTCCGAATTACCATTAACATTTACTTCAAATTGTATAACCAATTAAATAAGAAATTAATATATATAATCTATTTACTAAGAAAAAGGTAATAAAAGAGTATATTGCTCATCTTATTTGGAAATCAAACATCGATTGTTGTCTATTTATTTCGCCAAAAGGTATATAGTTTTGATCAAATCAAACTTCTTCAATACTCTTTTTGTTACTTTGTTGGAACTTTTAAAATAGATTACAATCGCAATAACGAAATATTTAGTTACTTCAACGAAATCAATTTTTGTAAGGTGTTTTCTTATAAGGATTTTGTTATTTGTAATTTGAACCCTGATTCCACTGTTTAGGGAATATTAAGTTAAAACAAAGTTATTATTTCTCATCAATTTATTTTTTAATATTTTTATTGATATTTTCATCTAAGCAAAATATACACATTAGTGAAGTATTGAATGTAAGTACTTCGGGCACAAATAACATTACTGGACTTATATGCTGAACGATACAGATGTAAAAAAAATATACAATTAAATATTCATATGAAATCATTGCACAAAAAATAGGTACTAGTTATATTTATTTTGCAATGCGTATATTCGATAAAACTAGCATAAAAAATAAAACCATATGCATGTAAATCTAATTAAATTAGGAATGTACAAACTTAAATATTAATATTCCATACAAGTCAATATGAATAGAAATTTTATACAACCAGTACTATGTGAACATCTATTTATCTAAGCTGCACTCTATTATAACAATTATGGTCTATAAGACTAAATCATTGAAACCTCACCATTACAGAAATAATCAATATTTTGGAGACATAAATATCATATACACATGTTCAATAAGAAAACAAAATTATTTTCTTCGTACAACTTGTTTCTTCAAGTAATATGTAATAAGTAGTAAAATTCAAAGAATCTATTTTTCTCACTGCAGCTTAAGAATGTAATAATAATATGTATATACGCAAGCATGTGCTACGCAAATAATCTTCATAATATAAACATGTAATCGTGTGTCTTTAGTGATTTAAGCACGAGATTTCAATATATTGCATATACTACGACATATTATACAAACTCAATTAGTAAATATAATTAGAAAAGCACAGCATTTTTTTTTTAAATATGTAACTGAAATCGCTTATATCCGTCGGCCCATTTGATGGGGAGGGGAAACAGTCGCCTATACACACGTGTTGCCATTCCACAGGACTCAATTGTCATGCCACTACACCCTGCGATTTCTTGCCAGTTCTTCTCAATTTAGGAAGTTAATAAATTGTAAAATAAACTGACGTACATTAGTCGCTCAAAATATAGTATATGATGAATAAATGCTTATTACTCTTTATACATGAATATATCTATATTTTTAATAGTAATTTCGTGTAACATGTGTAATTGCCTTTACGTACGGTAGTCGTGAATTTATGCAAACTATAATACACGAAATGTAATGAATGAATTTAATTCTATTCACTAAACATTATCTAACAAACGTTTACAATATTTCTTAATTATTATGCACCTCTTTCTAATAATACTTTATAATGTAAAATCAAAAGACATATTATGTAGTTAAATTCAAATACATAATAATGTTGCAAAAAATTATCACTGGCTCGAAATTGTCCTCCTATTATATAAAATATTGAAATATTAAAAAAGGTTGGTATATATAAGTAAAAAATGAACGACCAAAGGTTTGTTTTTAAACATTTTTCTAACAAATAAGTTAATTCATACATTCATGAGAAATCATTTACATAACACAAATAATTTCACACGTCACTGAAAAACATTTTCGAATTTTAGATTGGGATGCAAATATTAATTTGACTTTATAAGCGCTAATCAATTATCCTTAACTTTCCCGAGAGTTTTTCATCTATATTTAAAAGTTACGTATATATACATATATGTGAAGGTAACGGTAGAGACAATTGAATAGAACTGCGTATGGAACATTCATCGTACATTTTTTATGTAAAATGAACTCTTTCAATACATTACAATCCAGATACGTTTCGACCTCTTTGCTATTGTAAAAGCATACGTGTGTATATATATATATATTTTAAACAACACAGTAATTTTCTCTGTAAACTATATACTTGTTCAGTCGCGCACATATATCAGAAATGTATCTACGGCTTTTTATTGCCATTTTTTTACTACAATTCGAATATTAAGGAAAGTAATAAGAAATAAGTCATGAAGCAATGACTAAATATAATTGATTACCACCATTAACATGATTATTTATTTTTTATTGTTACATAATTATGAATTATATACTTGAACCCTCTGTCTGTAAGAATAAGATCATGACAGAATTTACGATAATATTACTTAATAACAAATATAACAACGTGTTTATAATCACATTAGGACTGGAACAAGTTTTGCTGTTTGGCGTCATTCTCGAAGTCGCTCCATGCGTTATTCAGTTCCATGAATATCATTTTCGCCAAATTTTCGTTAGTTGTCCCCATTTGCTGAAATTGCAGAATAGATTAAAAACATGGGTCATACGGACGTTTTAGTTGTACATTATAATGGTAGTTGCAATAGTTTATAAAAACTTTTGGTTATATGGTATAAATTGGCAGTGAAATTACAAGTCCTCGGGAATAGCAAAGCATGAGTGGTATGACGGTTGTCAAATGATCCGTGACGTTATTCATGTATATAGGCAAGTGTTACCACTCATCCTAAGGTGGGTCGTCGGTACGTTTTCCATTCCAACTTTACATAATAAAAATGAGGCCACACCCAAGGCTGTATACATATAGTATATATATTATATAGCATATAGTACGAACAATAATTTATTTGGAACAAATGTGGTATATAGAAGTAGGTAATTAGTTACTTAGTTTTTCAAATAGTATTTGGTCGCACCATAGATTATTAACAATTACTAAGAATAAGTAGCATTGATAATGTTAGTGTTGCGTCTTCATACTATTTCCCTGTGATTGTTATTATAAGTGGAGTGGGGTAAATTGGTACCTTGTCGGGATGAACGGCGAGGCAGGCGCGGCGATAGCTTCGTTTCACGTCGGCTGCCGAGACAAGTTGGGACATGTCGCAACGTGTCCAGCGACAATCGTCCCACACCACCGTGTGCAGGGAGCATAGCAGGGCGCGAATGTTATCTTTCTTGCCCTCCGTCTGTTATTAGAAATTTAACTTCATATTTAAATTTTTTATACCAAAATCATATACACATAGGTAAACGGATAAGAGACATTGCTTCATAGTCCTCTGGAATGGCAACGCAAGAATATCAAACTTGTATTATTTATGTGTATAAACAACAGTTAAGACTTACCATATATGGGTCGTCAGCTGGTTTGCCATGATTTATCTACACTAGTACCTCAGCAATCTTACCGAAATAAATAATATGCAATATTATATATCAATTGGAAATAAGATGCTCACTTATCTTCTATAAAATTTTCACAGATATGGTTAGTAAAAAATTGTAATTTTAACATTTATAAAGGCATATGTACGAACCCAATCATGTATCTTTAATTTTTCTGGATCCATTTCCTTGACCATTTCTTCTTTTCGCATTGCGTTCATTGTTTTCGGGCCGGTGTCGCGTTTAGTCGCAAAGTCATAGCCCTGGCTTCCGAGAAGATCGCCAAACACGTCTCCAGCCTTTTTCGGTTTCTCCTCGCCAGGTGTTTTTGCAGGTTCAAAATGAGTTCGACTGTAATATAAACTTTCTATATAACACTATAACTGACAAATTGACCAGAATGAATGTGGTAATGCTACTTTGACAGCGAAAATAAATCTGTCAATTAGAGATATAGACAATTACATTTATATAGATTATGAAATATGTCTTGTTTTAACATTATACTACAGTTTTGGAGATATATATAGATAACCAATGATGAAGTAAAAAACCGGGGGTGAGTTCAATTAATTAAGGTCGAATTTCGACCACTAGTTACTAATAATATAATCTAATAATAAAGTAGACATGACTAATACGACAGGAGTGACATGAACGGACTCACCTGTAGTCGGGCTGGTGTGCGGGCGAGCGTGCAGGAGTGTGCGTGTTGGTGTGGGCGGGGGAGGCGCGCGGGGTGGCCGTGCGGGAGGGGGCGGCGCTCGCGGTGGTGGGCGGGGCCACGGCGCCCAGCAGGTCTGAGAACGGATCCTTGTTCGTCTGCTGCGGCTGGGCCTGCTCGAGCGGGACGCTCTGCGGACGCCCTGTTGACCATTTTATTTTTATCTCAATAACACGTACATTAAAGAAACATACATAATATATTATTACTAAAACATGACATTGAGTGTCGGTACTTAATACAAAAGTAGTAGTAACTAAAAGAATCGCTTCATTGTTAATATTATAGTTGAGTATTACCTACATTGAGACTATGCCGCAGCTCGACATTACAGCTCGAAGCTGTAAAAGGCAGCTGCCCACCATTAGAATAGTTGAAAAAATGTGACTTTATTTACTGTCTCAATGTTATCAATAATATTCTTCATAGTAAAAATTGAGTTGTTACTGTTCGACAGAATTTTTTTTTGTATCCCTATAGATACTAATAAAAAAATCCGTTTTTGTATCAAAACTCTCAAAAAAATGATCATTTCTCAGCCTTCATATTGTATATTTGCCCATAAACAACATTTTTCCGAGTTATGCCTTCAATGTGTACTGATTACTTATGCGTATTTGTTGTTTTTGTCTAAATTGCTTGTCTAGATAGATAAATAATAAATTATTTATCTATCTAGATGTAAATATAAAAGCAATAGACAATCTGTATTACAAAGTGAGAGCTAAACCTATAAACTTACAATTGGAAACGCTTACCACCTTCCTGTATTTGTTGTGGTGTCAACAGCGGCTCTTGCTTGGGTAGAGGGTCGTTGAGACCGAATGGATCAAAATTGAGTGGGTCGCCTGTATTCGAGGCCGGTTTATCCGTCACCTCCGGCGGTGCGGGGAGATCGCCGAATATACTCTGAGACGAGAATGGCTGCAATAGATATTTATTTAAATAATGTTATCTTTAAAACAAAATGTAGTAGAAAGGTAGACTTAATGCTGGTAGAATACTCTACCTTACAACAGGCAGTAATGTGAGGAACAAGAAATATTGATTGAAAGGAAATTTACTATTTTATATTGTAAGAAATGAGTCAATTAAAATGTAAATTTAATTACAAATTAAATTTACATTTTAATTGACTCATTATTAGTAGTACATTCGTCGTATATCTATAGAGGACTATTTTGTATCGTATATTTATTTATTCACAAAACAGTGATAATACTTTATTGAGATTATGTAACTTTATATCAGTAAATAGACACCTGAGGATTGTCGACAGCTTGTCCGCTACTCAAGAAGTCTCCGAACCCTTCATCAGTCTGCTTCTCCATCATGCCGAAGAAATCAAAGGAATCATCGCTGGTCAACTTTTTCTGCTGTTTAGGTTCAGTTTGCGGGTTTCGGCTGGAAGCGCCAGACAAATTGAGGAAGTCTGCGTCGGAGACAGTAGAAGCTGGAGTAACTGTGTCGGGCGCGGACACCGGGGCGGCGGGGGCGGCGGGGGCGACGGGGGCGACGGGGGCGGCGGGGGCGGCACACTGGGGCCGAGGAGGCGGCGGCCGTTGCGGAGGGGGGGCCGACTTGTCTTCCCGAACCGGATAATCGGCTGTTACTGTTACACCAAAACATTTATTTTACTACTTTACTTGTTACAGGCATACCTGTCGCAACTTACTTGTAATAGCGTAGAGGTTTATAATATACAATATATGTGAGCTAGTGTTCACACTAGTAAGACATAGAAAATTTTGCAACAATACATGTTTTGACATGAAAATAATTTTTGAAGTACTTATCCGACGTTAGTTACTATATTCTCAATTTAGACAGTAACATTAAAAAATTACATAGATGTATCTGTAAGTCTGCAAGGTTGTTGCAAGTGATAATATTATAACATATGGAATGTCATAATAATATCCCTTCAACAAAGATCTAGTAGATCCTTGATGATTTTTTATCACACAGTACATTGCGAAATGTAAAAACAGTTCTAGGAAAGATGAAGAATTGTTATTAGTATTAATATCAAACACTCATTAATAACAAATTACTTTAAATCAATGATTTCAATACCATTAAAGCCGTCTTCCCGAAATTACCAAATTTTGAGTCAACACAGTTTATTATTAAACGCAAAATGTCAAACTCAGAAGAAACTATTTAATTAATTATTGTTAACATTAATTAAAAAATGAGTTATTATTGTATTATACATAAATCGTTGATTTGAATTTAAAAAAATATATAATAAAATATGAAAATATCACAGCTAAAAATAACTTTTTTATAAAAACAAAATACTAGTAGATTAAATATAAATAAATATAAAATTTACAATTTAACGAATTTACTTCATATGTAGGTTAATGTAATGTATGAAAGTAAAATTATTGTGCTATATTCGAATATGTACAAAATAGAAATATATTAAAATTTTACTTAAACGTGAAAAATAAAAAGTGCAATGACTATTAGTATTGTGTTTAAAAAAAACTACATACTATATAATCTTATTTACATAGAAAGATGGATAGAGTGACAATGAAGAATTTCGTTCTATGTTTAAAAATAATTAAGCAGAGCTTATATTGAAATACATATTATAAATCTTATTTTAATACGAACCTTATTTACGTAATTCGAATTTAAACCTATAAATGTAATCCATTGAGTGTTCATCGACACGATATCATAATATATTTTTTATTTTTTGATACGTCACAATATCCATGCTACATGTAAAAGATTCCACTAATTATATATGTATATGCTACCAAACATACTTGTCCGAGGTATCGCTGCAGCGTTTCCTCGTAGATTAGCTGTATAAATATATAAATAACAGTAATAAATAGTAAACAGTAACAATAATTACCTGGTCGTAAAATTACAATATTCTGTTAAAAATTTATACCCCCTTTACACACAATTATATACAGTCGGTTAGTCGTATGGTTGCCCGATAAATTCCACCGACTGTACATCAGCAGTCTTAAATGTTATTGATTTGGTTGGTGGTTGGTTTTTAATTTCAACGGGAACTCAACGGGAACTTATACGTAAAGTAGCTAGGCAATGCCGCGAATAGACGAGGCAAATCTAAAGGTACAAACATGAGGTAAGTCGAAATTAATATTATTGTTACTATTCTCGTATGTTAAATCACTATCAAACGTACATACATATTTAAATACAAATATACCTATAAAGCAATGTACTTAAAGTTGAATGTGGGCGTAGTGCGCTTCACTTGTATAAAGACTACTGAATACAGATATCCCCCGTATAACACGGCTATACATTATATTTCTGTACTGTTAATTTATTTAAAATTACCCTTTTTTTGTTCATATGCATAAGTTTTTTATTCTAAATATTCTTAACTTTGTTTGACTTTAGTAAAACATACATATTTCGTTCATATTATAGTTTTTTCTACTATATAAGAATTTTGTTCTTTTTCTTGAACATATAGTATTTGAGTACTCACCAAAATTATCGATAGTCTCGTCTCTCTCGAGATTGGTTGAGAACAGGATGTCCGGTGTCCGTATTGGGAAAGAGTGATCGTCCTCCCAGAGGTCGCTACGAGGTTTTCTCCGTTCGCCATTCTGAACAACCAGACTTATCACCGCAGTCAAATTAGATGAAAAATGATCGTTGACTGGTGATGACTCGTCGATACCGTCGATTTCTGATCTGTGAAATTTTATATTTTAATTGTTATAAATACGAATATAGTTAGCTATCTCTTACAACCTTGTTGAATTATGAAAAATTTCTATACGTCCCAAGACAGGTAGTTAATTCCACAATCTAACGTCATCCAAGTGTACGCCCCAACTTCGACGCACTCCGACGATGAGGTTGAGGCTATGTATGAGGATATCTCCAGAACCATACATAGTACAAAGACTCATTATAGCGTTGTCATGGGGGACTTAAACGCAAAATTGGGCAAACGAAGCGGTGATGAGCTGAGAGTGGGGCAATTTGGTATCGGTGATCGGAACTTCCGAGGTCAAATGCTGGCCGACTTCATGGAGAAGGAGAACCTCTTTATGATGAACTCCTTCTTCAGGAAGCCGGAACACCGGAAATGGACGTGGATTAGTCCCGATGGTGCCACAAAGAACGAGATAGATTTCATCTTGTCAACGAGAAGACAGATTTTCAATGATGTCTCTGTGATCAATGCCGTCAAAATTGGAAGTGATCACCGGATTGTAAGAGGCACATTGAATCTGAATCTCAAACTCGAACGATCCCGACTGATGAAATCTACGCTCCGCCCTACACCTATACAGATCCAAAACCCCGAAAGCTTTCAGCTAGAATTGCAAAACCGTTTCGAAAGTCTTGGTGACTGCGTTGACGTGGACGATTACAACAACAGGTTCGTGGAAACTGTCCGTGCGGCTGGGTCTAAGCACTTCAAAACCCGCCGCGCAGAAAGAACCGGAAAAATATCTATCTCTACCCTCAAATTGATGGATGAAAGGCGAAGTATGGTCCTGCAGTCTCCGACTGACGCTTCTCAGTATCGGCAACTTAGCAGGCAGATCTCTAAGTCCTTGACTCGTGACTTACGCCACTTTAACACAAATTGTGTAAAGGAGGCTATTGAGAGAAACAAGGGCTCAAAAGTCTTTAACAGGGATCTGGCTGCCGGACAGAGCCAGCTGACGCGACTTAAGACGGATGACGGCAGGATCGTTTCGTCTAAACCCGAACTTTTGAGGGAAATTGAGAAGTTCTATGGACAGTTATACACGACAATACGGGCACCTGTTAACAACACGGCGAAAGACCCTAGAGCCAAATTAACCCGACACTATACCGAAGATATCCCGGACGTCAGCCTGTACGAGATTGGTATGGCTCTTAAACAACTTAAAAACAACAAGGCGCCGGGCGATGATGGAGTTACTGCTGAGCTTCTGAGGGCTGGAGGTAGACCTGTTCTACGAATCCTCCAGAAGCTATTCAACTCCGTCATCCTCGAGGGCAAAACGCCTCAAGCATGGCAAAGGGGTGTGGTGGTTCTGTTCTTCAAGAAGGGAGACAAATCGCTTCTGAAGAATTTCAGACCCGTAACACTGCTGAGCCATGTTTATAAGTTGTTTTCGAGAGTCATCACGAATCGTCTCGCGCGCAGGTTTGACGACTTCCAGCCTCCCGAACAAGCCGGGTTCCGAAAAGGCTTCAGTACCATAGACCACATTCATACGCTGCGGCAGGTAATTCAGAAGACCGAAGAATACAACCTGCCACTTTGCTTGGCGTTTGTGGACTATGAAAAAGCCTTTGATTCGATCGAGACGTGGGCTGTGCTACAGTCTCTCCAGCGGTGCCAAATTGACTATCGATATATCGAAGCGTTGAAATATTTGTATGAAAACGCCACTATGTCAGTTCGCCTCCACGACCAGAATTCGAAGCCTATCCAACTGCAGCGAAGTGTCAGACAAGGCGATGTCATATCGCCAAAGCTGTTTACCGCTGCGTTGGAAGATGTTTTTAAGCTTCTGGACTGGAGCGGGCTGGGCATCAACATTAACGGCGAGTACATCAATCACCTTCGATTTGCCGACGATATCGTGGTCATGGCTGAGACCCTGGAAGACCTTAGCAAAATGCTCGAAGACCTCAGTAGAGTCTCACAAGGAGTAGGTCTTAAAATGAACATGGACAAGACGAAAATTATGTCAAACGTCCATGTCGTACCTGCTCCCGTAAAAATCGGAGATTCTACACTCGAAATTGTCGATCACTACGTATACTTATGGCAAACTATCCAGCTAGGTAGATCCAATTTCGAGAAAGAGGTCAATCGTCGAATCCAACTCGGATGGGCAGCGTTCGGGAAGCTCCGATATATCTTTTCGTCCAAATTTCCGCAGTGTCTCAAGACGAAGGTTTACGACCAATGTGTGTTGCCAGTGATGACTTACGGAACAGAGACGTGGTCGCTAACTATGGGCCCCATCAACAAGCTCAGAGTCACTCAGAGGGCAATGGAGAGGGCTATGCTCGGAGTTTCTCTGCGTGATCGAATCAGAAATGAGGAGATCCGCAGAAGAACCAGAGTGACCGACATAGCCCGAAGAATTGCGACTTTGAAGTGGCAATGGGCAGGGCACATAGCTCGTAGGACAGATGGCCGTTGGGGCAGTAAAGTCCTCGAGTGGCGACCACGGACCGGAAGACGCAGCGTGGGAAGGCCTCCAGCAAGGTGGACCGACGATCTGGTCAAGATCGCGGGAAGGCATTGGATGCGAGCAGCGCAGGACCGATCGTCGTGGAGATCTTTGGGGGAGGCCTATGTCCAGCAGTGGACGTCTTCCGGGTTGCGATGATGAACAGTACGCGGGAGAAAGATTCTCTGAAACCGCACTGCCCGAGACCATTTATTACTTCAGGCAACTTAATATTAATTATATAACAATATGGGCCCATATTATATATACCTTAAGGACTAACATATATAGAAAGTAATAAAATATTAATATTATAATCACTATAGTAAATTTTCCACAGAGGTAGCGGTATTACTCCCTTCTTCTTTCATGTATTTAGGTTCCAGCTTGTGGAAAGAACACGTATTCGCTAATAGAGACAATTGTTTAGTTATTAATCGTTACATACATGCTAAAGACTAAATTAAAACGAACAGAGTTACATTCAGTGAATACCTGGTGAACTTGATCGCGTGATGGTCAGCTGGGAGGAACCCGGTATGGAAATGCAGCGCTAGCATAGGAACGGCGTGAAGCCGACCCAGCTGCATGCGCGCGTGAACTACCGACACCACCACGTCGCCCGCCACCGTCGTGTCCAGAGGCAGTGTCACCTGATCACGACACATTATATAATAATAACTAGTGGTCGTACAATAGTCGAAATTCGACCATAATTATTTAAATTATAAGTTTGATCCTTATTAAGGTTCTATTGTCAAAGACCTCTATTGATGTGTCACATACATGTGGTGGTCAAATGATGTGAGTAATGTGATGTTTTTTTTTATAGATTTAATGTGTTTCTATGCAGAATTTCATATTCTATACTCGTTCTCTATTTAAACATTTTGCTTTACGGATTAAAATAGTAATATATCTCAGGAGAATTTATACAGCCGAATCTAATCCCAAGCTAAGCAGATCAGATTTTATAGATACTAAACAAATGATACAAATATATTTATATATATTTTTAAAATACATACATAATATAATAGAAAACACGTAGACCGATATAAACAGTCATACTCATTAATACAAATGTCAAAAAAATGATTACCTATTACCCAAGTTCATACCACATTTCTTCTATTTAGCTGCACAGCCTTAATTAAATAATGTCGTACAAATGTAACTCACCTTTCCTTCTGCCATAGTATACATATGTAATCTATCGTAATCCTGCATTGTGGACAGCAGCAGTCTATCTTCGTTGTAAATTTCTATATAGGGTCTACAGCCATCTCTGAAAAGTACAAAAAATACTATGAGGTATAACAATACTCCCGTTTTTACAGTTTCTTTCAGAAAAAGCACTGCTTAATTATCCTATATTTATTTGTTTCTCTCCGGGACTTAAAAAATTATAATAAATCATTTTAATCTAACAACCCAGATGAATTTATCTAAGGAAAAAGTGTGATGAATGAAACTAAAAGTATATTAATAATAATAAAATAAAAATATTTCTAGCCAAGAACAAGTTCGATCACGTCAGTTTACAAACAAGGATACAGCATGGCTAATCGGTCCACTCGTTTAACAACTACGTTACGTTAGGTTACAAACAAAACACGGCATAAGTATTTGTTTCGTAGGTTTCATAGGACTAAGATGACACACAACAACACACCCATGTCACAGATATAACACTATTTACGTCGGAGGTTCAATATTTTAAAATCATTTATGATATTTATGATACTAGAGCGGAATTGTGATATTTCAGATAAAAAGTCTAGTGTAGTTACCTTGCTTTGGTGAAGAGTGGTACCGGCTGAATAGTTATAGACACCAAAGTCACTGGTCTAAAGTGAGGGAGTACTGGTTCTGGCCTGTAATTATTAATATTTAATTAAATTCATTAGAATTGAATACAATAAGAATTATAACTAACGCATGTACTATATCGTAAAGAATATTAGAAATAATTTTTACTTAAATAGACTTTTGGAAATCAGACTCCTCACAAAAATGATGTTGTTGTTTTCAATTAAATGTTCTTCGAGAATTATTTTTTTAAGATTTTGTGTAAATACAAACTGCCAGCTAGCAAAATTGTGTAAAAAAAAGTAAATAAATAGCTACTTGAATGTCGAGTTTTTCGAGAGATGATTCATATTTTGTAATTGCAAGAGAGTTTTTTTAAGTTCCTAAAAGACCATGAAAAATAATACGGCCTATCAAACAGACTAAGATATGGCACATATTAATTTCATCAGCAACCTTAAAATTTTAACATAATTTATTAATTTGTATAACTAGAACTAACCTTACTATATTACTAAGGTAATAGAGATATCTGAGTTGACCAGGCGGAATGTTGATGGGGCAGCGCTTAACCGCAAATATCTGGAGAGCATCCTCCGGCACCGTCACTAGCTTAGAGTACAACAGCAACCCACAAAGCACCATGCATGACATCATTTTGCCGTCCTATAGTAAAGAGACATTAGGTTTTAATAAAATACAAAGTGCTCAGAATAGTAACGATGGAAAGTGACATTCAGATGTATTGTGCCATAGTCGTTTTTGTGACTAGTAACAACTGCATAAGCCGACATTTTAATCTAAAATAGCATGAAGCTGATGCCTGACATAATTTTGCCATCCTATGGTAAAGTGATATTTGGTTTTAATAAAATACAAAATACTTAGAACAGTCACAATGGAAGTGACATTCAGAGGCATCGTCACTGTCGTCGTTTTGGTGGACAACATCATAAGACGACATTTCGCCGATGATAGCATGAAGGATAGGGTTACTGCTAGCGTTGCATTATAGTAGGTAAAAGTAAAGAGTAGGAAATAAACTTAGAACATCAGTATTGGTCAAGTAATGGTTATCTCATCTGTTAATCACTGTTCTACAATTATTTAGTACAAAAACTAAGTTAAATCTGTACGGTACGATTTTTTGGTGATTTGCAACGTGCACGTGACATCCCTGGTGTTTCAGGCGTCCACAGCCTACGGTAACCGTTTACCATCAGATGCGCCGTATGCTTATTTTCTATCACAGCGCTAAACGACCCTAGAGGAGATTGTCCTTAAAGTGGCTTTGAATATTCAAAGCCACTTTAAGGACAATCTCCTCTGTCGAGGCTTCTTTGATTATATAATTATGATTTTTTACATTATACAAAACGAATACTGAAATTCAAAGTGAACAAATTATCAAAAGTTAAGTCACATCTCCGCAAAGCTTGTAGGAAATATTAGGAAAATTACACTTCTAAATACTAAAGCGTAACTTGGATGCTATAAGGTATAACCTAGCTGTAAGGTTTCACTTAGAAATGAAAATAAATAATTGCATGCTTCCAAATAGTCACATTTAAACAGTTCCCACAAAATAATTAAGTATTATTACCTTTAGCCACACGGCTTAATTTACTTAACTACTATATCTACAGTTTATAGTAGATAAAATTAATTTAATTTCATAGCTTTTTCACACAACGCGTCTGAAAGACATGCTAAGTGGGAGTAATTGAGTTATATTGTAATTTCCACACTACATACCTGGCAAGTAATGACCAGAGCATTCCGATCGTCCTTCCCCAGGTACTGGTACATATCTTGAAGCAATGAGTAGAATGGGGCCAGCAAAGGCGCCCTGTGTGTGGGCGTGGGCCACAGGGCCCGCCACGCTTCCACGCCGCCCCCGCCGCCCCCGTGTCGGGAGAACTGCGACCTCGAGCCGCGGCACACATTATAAACGCAGTATTTACCACCAGGGTGACGACTTTCTAAGAACGCCTAATAATAATATATATTATTATTTAAGTGGAACTACGTTGAACCATAGTATCTAGTGAATATTCGTTATCAAACAAGAGGTAAAGAGAAACATACATACATCATACATCTCGCATATTTTACTGCCAAGATTTTTTTTTAAGATTTTAGAAAAGTGAAAATAGTGGTATGGAATCATTTTTTCCTCAAAAGCGTAAAAGCGTAGTGCAATAGGAGTACCATGAATGCTATGAAGGCGTCACATGATGAAGTAACAGCCTTGGTACTGTTTATACATGACGGCCTCGGTGGTCAAGTGGTTTAACACAACGACGTACTTCCGATGGTCATGGGTTCAATTTCTCGCAAAAATTTATTTTGTAGGTACCGCTTTATAAGAATAGGAATATTTTGATTTACCTATAAAAGATTGCGTCAATGTCTCCTTTATTATCTCTATTTATAAGGAACTTTTAATTTCAATGTGAGTGATTAAGTTACTTACCCTGACGTCATCTATGTGGTTGGTCTTGTAAGCACTCTCTAATCCCTCCGAGGGGTATGGCATCACGATTATTCGACTAGTTATATAGCTGACATCTAAATCCGTTCTAGCGATTGACCTGTCACAAATAATAATAATTATTATTAATTATGTGATATTGTTTCATAGAGCCTTATTATTATTATTATTTACTAGCTACTCGCGCCGGTTTCCTCTTGAATCACTTTATCTATTAAAATACAACCGCTTCAAAATTCGTTGCGTAATTTAAAGATTTAAGCATACATAGGGACAGACAGACAGCGATAGCTACTAGTATAAAACAATTATACTATGTAATGAATTACCTAAATAGTAAATTAATATTTACTATTTAGGTGTGGTTCTAATTTTAATTTCAGATTGGTATTTTAAATTAAATTTTATTATGTAAGACCCACAATTTGTAAAACTATAAATGTAATCTGAGAATATCAATGTTGGGTTTACAATAATATAATTCAAAGTTTATGTAAAATATTGATAACATTTCCTATTGTAGACCAGTTTATGATCCTTATTAAATAAATAAAAAGCTTGGTACTCTCAATTTCGTCTCACACTAATATTATACAACTTCGGGTTTGTGGATTAAAATATAAATTATGCTAGTTAACCAAACATTGCCCTTACATCATAAGCAATCCATTGCATCATATCGCATAACATTTCATAATTTATTATATATGTAATTAAGGTAAGTTTTTAATTTATAACTCGCTTCACTAAATATTATGTATGTAATTTTCCTGCGTAAGTGATTTCTTAAAATCAAATAAGAAATAAATATCTTAGATCGTAAATATTAATTTATTGTTATAATATTTAAACTGTATACTTCTACTCACTGTTGCACAGTCTGCATGACTTTGGAAGATGTATCTTTCAAATTTTTCAGGAAGCTACCAGCGCCTCCTTTAATAGATGAGAACAATCCTCCCGAGTTAGCAGGCGTTTGGGGTAGAGGGGCAGCGTAGTGAGGAGCGGCGGGAGGGCGGGCAGGCGGTGGCGGCCGGCTGGGTTCTGGAGGACGAGAATTCGGAACCTCCTGGCTGTTACACGTTGGTTGGTCTTTGGTCGCTAAAAAAAAATTATGTTTATTTTGCAAGCTATCCTATTAGCTAAGTATGTTAAGAAATCTATGAATTTAATAGTACTGATCATTAGTATACATAACCTTCCAATTTAATTATATATATTATGTTAATATGATAATTATAGTATAGAAATGTTTATGATTCTATTATTTATGATAGAGCAAACAGTTATTGATTGATTTTAATAACGATAAGTCAATGTTGTTAATATAAGTTTCTAATTTATAATATACGTACCTATCCACTGTTTTAAGTAATCAAATAGGTATATTAATGTAAAGTATATATAAAAAAAAGATGGAGATGATTTATATGCTATTTATTATTAAAATTAAATATCTTACATATCAATCTCTTAGGTCACTAATAGTAACAAAAATATTGCTCATCTATAAATTATATAACAAAACAATACATTCTTTAATTATTAATGCAACAAACATCTTTTCAAAATGTGATGGAATGTTAACAAATATTAATAATAGAATACTATACATAAAATCGTCAAAGAAATTCAAAACGTCAAAAAGAAAATCAATATCACAACACATTTGTTTTTAATGAATATTAAATAGTCAATATAATTATCACTTATGTTTTAAGGGTAATTTAAACTTAGAAAATATATTTATAACAAAGTATTTAAAAATTCGAATGTAATTCTGGTACGCCCTTTTAGAGGGCGATATAATAAGAAATAATAATTACCTATCTAATTTAAAATAAAAATTTAAGTGAATATTATCATCATAATAAATAACTGTAACAAGCACCTTGATAGGTAACTATGTGAAAAACATAAATTGTTATATTTAATAGTTAAATATTAAATTATGAATAATATTTATGCATTTATTACTATCCTCAATATATAGGAGGAAGCTAGTTCTATAAAATGGAAATTTGTATAGATGTTATTACTGTTACAGGAAAAGTACTGTTGCAGTCTGCGCTAGGCAATATACATAATATAAGTATAATAATTTACTAATATATTGATTCAAAAATGCTATAACTAACAGACTGCAATAAGGAATATAGGCTAGGCTATATGATATATTTTTTTTATAATATTCACATAAGAACGAGTAATGCGGATGAAGTCACAGTAAAAAACTAGATAAACCTAATAATAGTAGAATAAAAGAGAATACAAACACCTAAAGTATAAGCACACCAAATGCGTGTAAGTGCGGTCACACATTATTCAATTTAGAGCGACCGTCCTATGAGCATATGGTTGCTACGCTCTTTAAAATGCGCCTATCGGAACGGGATGACATACGATAATAGTCCGACTAAACCGAATAATGTGTGACCGCATTAAGTAACGACCGATTTGTACCACCGTTCCCAATTCCACTTTATACTGCTTTATTCATGGAACCGTTGTGGTTCTAACATATAGATTTTTTTAAGTTGCATATCAATCTCAAATATCAACATGTGGTGTGTTCAATACTATAGATGACATTATATATTTATATATATTCCCATAATGATTACTTGGTACAAAATAAATTATCTATAATCTAACATGGTAACATATTAATACTATGACGTGTTCAAACACGTTATTTTTGTACCCTTGTAAGTGTTGTAAAGGGCTGTGCAAAGGAATTCGGAATGTTTATATATATATATATATGAATATGAATACAACTCGTCGGTGTCGATCAACAAGATGACGAAAGCAACATTTATTGTGATGTTTCCTAAAGATTCCTAAATTTTAAGTTCCCATTAAACATGCAGATTTTATTTGCACAGTTAGCTTACTCTTATATAGATAGATATTTAAATTGAAAAGCTTGGAAAATCACCACCTGGTTTGCTAAACAATTCATAATACATCAAATAATAATGTAACTGCCCTGCGGAATAAGGTATATTGTCCTGGATCTAGAACATATAGGATACGGTCCAATGAGACTATATACGACTGGTATTATTATAACAATAAATAGACAATATTTTCCTAAAATAATTGAGTAAATATAAGCCTCAAGTTCCAGCAAAGCGTTTCCTTGGAATACCGACGTATTTATCGAGCCCTGATATAGAGTCGATCACTGGTTAAGTTGCCTAATTCTCAGTTGGACTCAGATTGGGCGAAAAGTAGTAAACAACGCGGGTTTCTTCAAAACATTAGTAGACTTCAGACAACCTGAAGACTGACCGAAAGTATAAATAATAGTAAGTTAAAAAAAATATATTATAAATAAGTTAAGCCCTTAACAGCATAAATACATCCTCTGTAAATAACGCCTGGAACCCCGTCTTAAAAAAAAACTAATATGTATAAGTTTGAAAAATATTTCTCAACTAATATGAATGAACAAAGTTTCGGGACTATGATTATCTACCTACACTATTTATACTTATTGTCTTTCAATATTTATACAAGTGCACGATTATAATATATAAAAGTAAAGATAAACGGTATCTTAATATATGACAAAATTATATCAGAGTCAATGCTGTACAATTTTTAAATGCTGTTCATAAGTATTAAGTAGGTAACTACTGAAATTAATTAAAAAGATTTATGGCCACTTATCTGTTTGGGTGATGTGGTTTGTCTATGTATTGAAAGTTCGCATGAAATCGGCTGGACTGATTTGGATAAAAATGTCCACAGCATACAGATGATATTAAGCTAAATATGAGCAAAGTGTAAAAAAATGGCTCCTCGATGGGGTTAAATTGTTATGGATTTATCATAGACCTGTATACCTATGTAGAAAATACTATACTTCTACTAATACAATTGGATCATTACACAATAATTTTATTTATTTGTAAGTACGAAGTTCTGTCCAATTTTGTTTTAAATAAATATTAGCAAGTCTATTATCTCGACTGAATATAACAAAAATGATCTTGTTACTTCATATGGAGACACTGAACAAGATCAATAATTATAAAGTATACGAAAAACAAAAATAAATTGTTATTAAAAGAAATAAGGAGTTGAGATCCTATTTGTAAGTACGTAAGTATAAATAAAGTTTCTATTATAAATTATTATCAATTTCACATTGAATAATAATGTATTTTTAATTAACATTAATATAAAAATACATTAGTATACTATAAAGTAATAGTAATATAACAAATGAGTGTATGTAAGACTTGTAAACAGTTTTGGATAGCCCTAGTATAAACTAGCTTACAGACATAAACAAAATAGTTTATTATACATTAATAAATAAAAATAAATACTCATCATTGAGAGCATATCCAATGGTCTAGGAAGCGGTCAGTGTGAGTGAAGTCCGTAGGCTCATGCTAGCACCGCGGGTCATTTAAACGAGAAAACAATTGGGCACCCGAAAAAGTTGAAAACACCTAAAATGAAAAAGAAAACGTGATATGTAATGCAATCAAACAGTACAATTATTCTATATAAAGTACAACGCCGTTTACTTGTGTATCTATGATATTTTATTTAGGCCTAGGTAAAATAGTTTTTCATTATTAAAGGCCTTTAAGTGTTTCATTATTACATTCATTTAAATTTATAACTTTGTCATGCAAACTAATAATTTAAAGTTAGCAGTTGAAACGTAAAACCAAATAATTTTAGTAATATTATTCTCGTTTAAAATCTGTCTCAATTAAGTCTTTTTATATGAATTTATTACTTATATTCCTTTATTAATTTATACTCCTATATCTAGTATGAATATTAAAATTACACAATAATGGCGTGGAACTTTATAAGAATCTACGCACACTTACATGCAGGGTATATGTTGCAAGTTCATTCAAACAAAACATAATAAAGCATTGATTCTAAATGTAATAAACGCATGCACGAAACGGCCTACATTTTTTTTTAAATCGTTATATAACTTCAGATATCAAGTTCTTACGACCAAGCTATATACGTACACTATATTACTACAATTAATGTATTAGTAGTTATTTCATTCAACATTTAGTAATCTTCAAATATAGATTACATTTTGATAAGGGACACTGTATATAAGTACCTAATAGAAAATAAATCAAGCAGTCACTATAAAATTCAGTGAGCAAGTGATTTTACTTGATGTGTGTACTTTTTTATGAACTAGTAGTTCTGATCATAAAGTTGTGATATATGCGCCTGAATATCTGTTTTGGGAGATATTTTTTTTACTTTTTAAGTATATATGATATGGCTGAGTCTTGTTATTAAGGACTTTAAGTATTATATTGTAGTAGTTGTATAAAATTAATGGTTGATTATTACGTGCCTACTAATTTTATAATCAGTTCTGATAAATATCCACAAGTGACTCAGGTCTTCAATAACAGTTACATAGAATAAAAACTAATTATTTAATGTCTCCATGGAAAAAGGAAAAACCTTACAAAAAGGAAGAAAAAGTTTCTTTAAAATATTTTTTTGAGCTATCTTAATATAGTATCTAAATTTGTTGTGATCACGATTTTTTCGATATTCTATATTTCGGATCGATATACCTTTTCCATTACACCATACATCTTTATATATCATACTACTGTTAGTATATGAATAATATAATGTTTCCTCAACCACACCATAAACAAATATAGGTACACACTTGAAGACACTATACAAATATACATACTAGTTTAGACTATGACATTGCGTGAACTGAATAACGATGAAATTATGTAATCTATGCTGTTAGAATAAGGCCCAAAATCGATTAAAATGTACAGCTACTTTCACCGATGTTTGACCGTAGGAAAATATGAAAAGTGCAGAAGTTGACTAAGTCTTTAGCATATGTGTGACGATTGATTGACTAATTGTGCCTAATCTCATTATACCTTAATGTATGTTTTATAATATTCTATAACAATCAGGTACTAAGTAGTCTACTTATTAAAAATAAAATATATTTTTTGCTACTATGCTTATACTTAATAATTCATTCCTATATGATATTAATAGACACACCTCCAGTATTCTCTAATATAAAGATATGACAATATACCGGAAATATAACATAATAGAAATTTATTTATTGCAGACCAATAGTATGTGACCTAGTCGTTTGGTCTACAATCATGAATTATAAACATGTTTTACTTATTTATTTTGTTATAGGTTAGCATTACGGACTAGATAGTTTAGAGGCTAAAATGCTGTAATGTAATAATATCTGCTAATTTAGTGTCATATCAACCATACACAGAAGAAAAATAATTTAATATACGATACGAGTGTTATCGCGTATGCACACTGCTATCGTCTGTAATTGAACTGATTATAGTTGATATTCAATTATCAATAGAATTACAACTCATTGTTCGTACTCTATTCAGTTACTATACTAATTCACATACTCCACAATACCGTATTGTAGTGTCCTAAGTCCTTGTAGTGACAATACACTATGTTACAATAAATTTTCATCTCCAAGTGAGATTTAACTTTAACACAAGAGGAGAAAGACTAGAAATGCCAGAACCAGCTATTAATATCCAGGCCTACGTAATAATAGTCCTCTTATGAGAGACCCACCTAGAGTAGGTAATGGGGCGCTAAATCTGTCATTACAATAACATTATTAGTACTTCTGATTATACTGAAAAGTACGTTACAGTGCTATTTAGTAAGGGATTAATAATACTACAATATTAAACGTTTACCCTAATTACAGAGTACTAAACAACTATAAGAGAAGTTAGTGGCTTCGCCACACACTATCCCATATATTGCCCCCAAACAACGAACTTTTTTACTAACGAGTGTTTTATGAAGACTAAATATATAAACCCATAAATTGAAATTAATTATTAAATCTATAATAGCCAGAAATTATTTACCTCACTGATGCTAAATAATTAAAAACAATTGCATACACAAAAATATCCATTTATGAAAGTAGTTATGTATTAGCGAAATCACAGAAGACAAAATAAAACAATAAATTTAAGAATGATTACAATTCATTGTTGCAGCTAAAATAAATATTTAAAAAACATTATAAGAAAATAAGAGAATCTTCTGATTATTATATACTTATTGTTCATATTATTCTCACAGAGAATTGTATTATATCACACGAATAAATTAATATTATAACTTATGAATCAATCATGACATATGACAATCTTATCTATTGGAATATATGGCAATCTTATTTGTGACTTTTTTTTAGCATAGAAGCCAGACGAGCTTGCGGCTCACCTGATGATAAGTAATTACCGCTGCCTATGAGCACCCGCAACACCAGGGAAATTGCCAGCATTTTAAGAAAGAATAAGCTCGTTTCTTTAAGGTTACAAACTTCAAGAAATGAGCTGTCTCTATCGTATCGGTAAGGAAATACCATTGCTGGAAGGTGATCCCACAATGTGGTGGTGCATGGCAAAAAGTTTCTGGAAAATCGCACGGTAGCCACCATTCATCCTGATGATCAATTGGATATTTTAATTTCTATTTGTATTACCATATTACTGAATTGAATTAATTGTTAGGAGTTAAAGATCACAGTTAGTATAAATGTGCATTGTTTAGGCGAAATGTTAGTCACAAATTAGCGTTAAACGGTGCAAGTGCAAAAATACATATTAGATTTAGCATAATAAAAAAATCATACCGTAAAACTGTGTTAAATTTACATTGAAATAGCTCAACATTTTACCCAAGTGAATTTCCTTCCTCGTATACCAAAGTCTCCAGTTTATCTCGACTACGCCTCACATGGCTACCTCTGTATTTGAAATGCGTTTGAAATAAAAATAAAAACAAACTATGACTGTGAAGAATATACTCATTTATTTCACTAATGTAGGCTTCGACATAGTCACACGACTAACCATAAAACAGTGATGTGATGACAATATTTGTAATAAGTGTGTTTCAACAAAAACACGCAGTATAAATATGATTGTATTCTAAATACTAATTAATTTGATAGTCTCTTTTAACAAATATAGCTATAATCACGTTAACACTATCCCTACACATACAAATATTATTATACATAACAGTGGTGGACGCATGGCTCTGGTTAAGTCAATCATCCACAATATAAAGTGCTCACAAACGGACTATATTGTGAACATATGAATGATTAATGCTTAACAAATTTATAATGACTCTACTCAGGTTTAATAATACTTGTACCTCAGTTTATTATATTGTCAATGTTTTGGAATGTTTCCACTAATAAAATTGATTTTATCAATATCTATATTTATAATAATAACAGCCAGTTGTTTAACGAAACCATTTCAATTCGACTAGTCATAAACACAAAATAAATTTAAGAAATCAATGACATTGTGATATAATCCCTGTGCTGATGATTTACCAAGCTGCCCATAATGTTAGTGTGAATTTATTTAAAACTATACATATTGCTGTAAACCAGTGTTAGTTATATATGATTAACAATATGAAATTTTCAAATGGTGTTAATATAAGCTAATAATGTATACGAAACAATATGATAATCTTTCTAGGAGAATAGTACCACAAATATATCAATATATGCCTAATAAACACCTAATTCAAAAATACATTTATTAAATAAAAAAGTAATATAGAAAATGGGGTTCGAAACCTGGTGTGTTGGTTGCGGGAACCATAACACATATAGGAATGTAGACTTAAGTTTTACCTAAAATAGAAGTTTTTGTATACTAACTAGCGACAGGTACCCTATTTCTATAAAAGCTATAGGTTTGAAGAGTGTACTTTAAAAATACACACTTTACTTTTTGGTAATATACATACATAATTTATATTCTTGATCAAATTTTGAATCAAACAATTTTAAGCTTAAATATATCCACTATACTATGTAACATTCCTCAATAATAAAGATATATTATGTCACGTTTACATTATTTATACTATTAGGATTTCTAATGTCTTTCATCAGACTTAAACTTTAAATTAAAGCTTTTTTCTTTCACTGTTCAGAAAAAAACATCAAATATAGCGTGGAATAAAACTAGATGAGCTTCTCCTACCTAAAATAATTCCAAAATTCAACACCTTCAAATAATTCAACCTTAACATATTAAATGTTGTATAATATTTAATAGCTTGTTAAAATAAATTTAAATATAATATGCAAAGTCAAATAAATGCTATACTACCTTATTTCATTCTGTGAACATATTATTCAAATTGCCTTACCTTTGGTGACGCTCATTTTTGGTGATTATCAACATTGGAATGTAAAAAAATCTCACATTACGAAAATAACCATTCTAAAGAACTCAAACAAACAGTATGCGGGGAAAATAAAAATTTGAGTGTAAAAAGTCAAAAAATACTTGACCATTGTTAGCTCGAGTTTTAAATGCAACATAACATAATGATGGACCAACGATATGAATGGATAATTGATAATCGCGATCGTAAACCAACGTACGTTTATACGACTCACGTATCACTATCACAAAATGAGGAAGAAGGCGCGCCGCGGTTGTTTTCTCTTAGGATATGGTAGTGTAATATTTACTTGACTTCTTATTACCTGGCGAGCTAGTGGCCACAGATTGTTCAACTTTTTTACGCTCAAATTTGAGTGGTTGCTTGAGATTGACATTGTTGGACTCTGCAATCGCCGCCAGTCGTTCCAGCACACTGTTTATTGTCAGCCGATCCTCGGGGTTCACTGTTAGGCAACCATCTGGGGACAAATATTGACATGTACATAACACGTACATTCAGTTCACAGCTAAAATGGAATTAAGTGAATATGTGCACACGTCATAAAGTTTTACGTAACGTAAACATTTAGGTGTAAATAAGATGAACATAATGAGTTCCATAATGATACATACTCCCTTTTAAAAATACTACTTAATATAGTATTGAGAATATGTAATAATTGTTATGTATACACGAGCACGTAGCATTTACTTAAATGACTCTTTTATTATTTAAGCTAATGCTTTTGATTTACAACTATTGTTTAAAAAAGTTAATAGTTAATTGTTGCTGAAAAAAATATAATGTATGTACAGGCACAGAGAGAATACTCAAATCTTAAGGTTATATTATACTCAATATACATGTTTCATACTTACTTATGATCTCATGAAAGCATTTGTATCGTTGATCATTGGGATTAAGGTTGTAATTTCCATTCAATATGGCTAATTTAGCAGAGTCCTCGAATGGATGCTGCATGAAGCATAGGGTGTACAATATACATCCGAGGGCCCATATGTCTACTGAATGGTCTATTTTTCGATTGTCCCACGTGTCTAACAGTTCTGGTGCTCTATACATGGGCGTTGTGAATTGAGCCAGCTGAAAGTTTTCAAATAAATTAAATATTTCTTAAAAAGACATAAGACGCATTTTATTTGATTCATATTATCACGCTCTTTTTAACTTTTTATTAATATCTGTTTCCCTCACCGAAGAGTCAGTCAGAAATATAAATTGACACACAATTGTTTGGTTTTAGCCAAGTTTAAAAGCACAACCTTCAGGTCTAAATCTGGGTATATACAATAGCCGAATCCCGAGAACAGTTGATAATTTGGCCAAGAAATGTCGATTAAGTGTACAGAACATTTTATTGCGAACACTTCGAAACCAATTCGTATAAAAAGTCATAGTTTCTGATATTGTGAAGTAGAATAATTATTCTTCTATTGTCTTATCTCATACTTTATTTCTGTTGAGTTTTGATCAAAGTTTAATATATACAAACTAAATTTCAAATTGGGATATAATTTGGTGCTATAATATTCCCTGCAATTTCTGGATTATTAACAAAAAATTTTATGTGATATGATTAAAGCATCATCAGAGTTCCGTTCAACCTCTATAATAAAAGACTCCACCATTAAAATAATGGCGAAATTCTGAACATTTATTCTTCATTAACGTATCAGTATATAATCTGCTCCTTTACATTACATATTCACACAGTTTTGAGTAGTCATTGTGATCAAGTCTTAATCATAATAAAAATTATTTTTAAATGCAGTTTAATTATAAATTACATTTCTAATTCATTTGAATCATAGTTAGGTATATGCCCATGATAAGGTGCTAGGAAATTTAAAGGAAACAATTTGTTTGTTTTATAGTTTCATTAATTAACATTAATTATGATACTTACGTTTTCCTCTAACATGTTTCTTTGATTAGCGCTCCATGATGGGTTAGGAGAGTAAACATCAGTAGTGGCGGACCCGAAATCACACAGTTTTATTGTACCTAAGGCATAATAAGCACTAATTATAAAAAATGCACCAGTAAGTAGTATAAACACTATAATTATGTAATTTAAACTTAGATATTTGCAGCGGTACACTATAAAAAGTCGTCTATATAGGCATCTGAATCATCATCTATTACAGCTGTCAAGCAGGGTTTTTTCTAAGTTGTGTTTCAGTTGAATATTGAGATAAGGTTGTAAAATTGTACAATAAAAGGCTTGCTATTTCAAATACACAAAAAAGTATTACCAAGTTCAATAAGGTTTAATCGTATGGCTAAGTAAGAACGAATTTTCTAGCGAAAATAATTTTTATACATATTACTATTAAAAGTAATAAATTTAATTAAAATTTTATTAACTAAAGTAAAACATACCTTCATTACATATTAAGAAATTTTCTAATTTGAGATCACGATGTGCTATAGGAGGAACTTGGGCATGCATGTGCTGCACAGCACGACACATCTGGTAAAATACTCTTAGGATCGTCGGCAAGGGGAACGCCTGCCCCTTACTTTGTAAAGCCTCCATCAAACTGCCACCCGTGCAAAGGTCGGTTAACAGTAAATACTCGCCCATCCCATGAGCTGTCTTTGACTTATCAATAAAGGAAGCTGCTATATATTTAATCACATTTGTGTGTCCAGATAACTTTTTTAATAGACTAATCTCGCGAATAATATTCTTGTTCGCTTGTTCATCAGCTGCCATCAGCCTTTTTAAGGCATATTCTGTACCAGACGACACATCTTGAGCAACAAAAACAAATGCAAATCCACCTGTAAAACAAAAGTATTTTTAAATAAAGAAATGTATAATTTGGTTTGTTGTTGTATGGTTTGTTTGGTTGGCGTATCTACGATCAAGAAATAATTAAGTGAGTTATAAAGAATGGTAGATTGGTAAGATAGGATCGTGATTAGTATTGGAGAAAAAGAGAAGAGGGGAAAAAAGAGGGAAAATGGAAGAATTGCCAATATGTTTAAAGTTAATAGTATAATAGGAGCCCTTTAAGATGATGATGTAATTATAAGGAAGAATATAAAAACAGAACATTAATGCACATTGATGAAGTTGAAAAAGAAAAGTGACAACACTGAAAGACATGTCCATATTAATTTTTCGCCTAATAGAGCTAAGTAAATATTGTAAAGTATTACAAATTTTCAATTTTATATACACAATTTATGTTATCAGTTATATCATAAATTCTGTACATAGAGATGTGAGGATAAAAATGAATATAAAAAAGACTCTATTAACATATTTTATTCATTCCAAAACAGCAGCCATATGCATTCTAATATTGAAATTGGTTTTTCGGACATTTGGTTTGGCATTCAAAATCAAACTCATCTGGAACAGCCTGTGCCTACACATGTAATATTTCTGTCAAAACATTAATTAGTTTACGTCTCTACATAACACATACATATAACTTTAGTGTAAAGTCAATTCTAGTCATTAAGACCCATGTCTAGTATACATGCTATGAATAAACCATGTAGCACACTAACAAAAGTTTGTCAATGCAGTACTGTTATTTCACCTGTATACTATCTACCCCACACTAGATACTATGGGTAACAAATAAAATAAGTAATGACACCTCATCACATTATACATAATGTTACAGTGGCGAGGCTATAACCATCATGCTCTAAGCCCATGGTAGTAGTGTAAACACCAAACATAATTGAAATTTGAAAGTCTTATCATGATTTCATGTTGGTATTGTTTTGTGGAACAAAAACAATAGTTCTAATAGTCAATACATTATGATGGTACAAACATATACAGATTTATAAAAATATAATTTAGTATGTTTGATACAACACAGCATCAGAATCTGCATGTATCCTTATAGAAAGGAGACCAAGCAAAACATACCATAATGATTGAGAACTATTTTAAAAGTATTTCCTTATTTAAAAAATAGTGAATATATAACATTATTTCAATTTCTAAGCTCCTAAACAAATTCATTATTAACAATTAATTAATTTAACCTGGTTTTGAATCATCACTATAAACATTTGAAGTAATAATTAATAATGATTTTAGAATACTATTATAAGAAATAATTGTATTATGACATTATCACTAGAAAGAGAGAGCAGCTATTTTATTGAACTGAGGGTTAAACTATGTAATTCTATTATTTTTTATAAAGATAAATTTTATTTTAGTCATTATAAGAAAGAAATTTACTCAATTGAATGAAACCTTGTATATTACTGAAGTTAAACCTTACTCCAGTAATATATACTAGATTTAATTAAATTGAGAAAATTGTACTAATCCATATCTACTAATAATATTAATCCAAATATATCTATATATGTGTCTTTGTTTGTTACTTTTTCACTACAACATGGCTGAACAAATCTTTATGAAAATATGTAGTAAAGTTTGATAGATACAAGTATGAATATACACATATTTTTTATCTACTAAAGTCAAAAGTATTTAGTTCTATGATAAACAACTACTTGCTAATGAAAATACAATAAGTTACATAATAAGGCTAAAAAAGAATGAACACAAGATACTCCACAATGTGAAGCAATGGGTCGTAATTTAATTTTCACAAGAAGCACAAGAGCAAATCAAGTTGATAAACAGTAATTCAACCTCTCTACTGGTTTAATTATTAAAAAAAAATGATTTAAATAAAATCATGGCCCAATAATGACCAATCACAGTAATTAATTGGTTTTGGATTTCCTTAAAATCAAAGATGAGTATCAAGGAATATGTCCTGTCAGAATGCTGTTTGGAATCTGTATAAAGTATCAAGAGAACATTTTTGGTTGAATGATGTAGTCTCTATATTAAATACAATAATATCTATATAATATTATAATTATGAAAATTTGCATATTAGAATTACTTAGAATTTTTTATTGTACAGATTCAAATGAAATTTGGTACATAGTTAGACCATATTTAATTAATAATATACTATAGATTAATACAGTACAACATTTACTAAATATCATATTAGCATTACTGTATAATACAATTAGTCTTTAATATAACTGGAGATATTAAACTTTTTACACCACAACATGGTTGATAATGGAATGATGCATCCGCTTACACTAACGGATTACGCTGGCAGGGCACCAGTGAAGGATGATAAGATGAGCCTGAGATCAGGTCAGTTAGCCCATTGTGACAAATTTACCAAGAATTTATAACCATGGTTTCCAGGAGAAAACCATGTGGAGGTCATCCTGACATGGTACATTGCTAGGAATATATATTATCAGTTCAGGTCAGGGATGAGTGTATTGTCAACCCTTAAGAAACCTTAATATATACTACTTGGAAAACCCCATGCCACCTCATCGACAGGTAGTTTATTCCACAACCTAAGTGTGCACAGGAATCCTTCTGTGCACACTTAGGAGTGTCCTTTGAAACTGCAGAGTCCAAATCCACTTAAGTTCTGAAGCGTAGGAATAATGATGAATTTTTATGTAACTTATTTCAAGCCAGAAATGCAATCCCATTTATATTTGATATTGATCAGAAGAGATTAATTTTCTTGTTACATACATTGCAAAATTCTAGATATAAAATAAGTCAATAAATGTAACAGATTGAGAGCGAAGCCAAGCAGAGATCTTAGTTATCAAAGTGCGTGAAATTATAAGAAACGAAATAATGAGACAAAGACGTGACGGTTATCAATAAAAATACAAAAATTTTAATCCGCCCCCATAAATAGGCAGTCATTATGACGTTAAAATTAGAATACAATGATTTATAAGAGATATTTATTACAAAACTCGGAAAACAAAACCACACGTTAAGAAATTATTTATTAGTGACTACTCTTATTTAAAAATTTTAGATATCCAACTCACCTTCTGCAATTACTTTTTTCACTCTCAGTTTCATGTTTCCAATTTCAACGAACTGACCAACGAAATCATTATCACTACCACCATTGGCTCCTCCAGAACTGAAGTAGCCCATGGCCGATTTAAAGACGCTCATGTTGAAATATTAATTTGCAGTTAAGATTTGGTGATTATGGAAAATAATAGCTTAATTTTAATCAGTAACTTCTAGTTGGATCCATTTTAGATTTGGAATGGTTGCACAGATCGTAGAAGAATGAATGTCAAACAGTCTCAAGCACAGACTATCTACAGACGGACGGACGGTACGGACGTCGCCATAGAGAACACAGTTGTAATCTTGTAGACTGACATTCACCTAGCCGATAATGACATCGACATGGGCTGGCACAGTTTTCTTAGAATTTCCTTGATGGTATAGTATCACAGATAACATAATAGAACCAAAAAATGAATGACATCCATAGAATCCACAATTCGACATTGGACATGATACGCATCTAAGCCTCTCTGTGCTTCTCTTGAATCTGACAGACAGCACATTAGCTGTACTCTGTGTGGATCTGTTTGCAAAAGGGAATAAAATACACAAACCAATTTGCTTTTGTCTTTACAGTTAATTTTTATTCTTGCCAAATTTGCCTATTTAAATTGTTTTTCTCAGATTCATTATCAAAATTTTACACAGGAGTAACTGCAGACTGATGTTATTTTATCATTTGCCTATTGAAAAACCATGGGCTTTGAAATAAAAAGGTTTCAAGGTGACGTTGACGAAGAACTTATTTGCCCTATTTGTTCAGGAGTTCTTGAAGATCCATTACAGGTATGTCAATGTCTTTGATTCTAAAATTACGAAAGTGAGTATCTAAAATTGTGTAATTATGTTATAGGCTCCGGCTTGTGAACATGCTTTCTGTAGAGCCTGTATAACTGAATGGATAAGTAGACAGCCTACTTGCCCCGTAGATCGACAGGCCGTAACAGCGAGCCAACTAAGGCCTGTTCCGAGGATACTTCGTAACCTGCTATCCAGGTAATTATTATTTCGTAATATATTATGTGACATAAACAATAATTAAGTGTGTCATTTTTGTATAATATATATATATATATACCATCATGGCATCTGTCGACCTACTGATTTAAATCAAGACCTACTTTCATGTAAAGTTAAATAATTTCATATGTAAATGAGCAAATCATACATATTCATTCATTGATGAATGTGCTTGATGCACATAATGCTGTTATTTAATACTATGTTTTCATTAATTCTGTTTACATTCCAGACTATGTACAAGTTGTGATAATGCTTCACATGGCTGCAATGCTGTGTTGAAGTTGGACTCTCTACCCTCCCATTTAGTAGAATGTATGTTGACAATAATTTTCATATTATTTCAGTATCTTCATAAATATATTAAGTTACTTGGCAGGGTGATTTATAACAATTTACAAAGTTTAAAATGTAACTATATATTTAGTCATGATTATTACAAACACCATGCATATTATAAAATATAGTTTTCTCTAATATTTATTAATTACATAGTTCATAAGATTATCTTGTTTACATTTAAAATATCTCTGTGATTTGGTTTAGATGTGACATAAAAACAAAACAAGTTTATTGACATTTAATTTACATTTGTAATATTAGTACATATTTTGAATAATTGCAACACAGTTTTGAATACATAAGTAGAAATTATGATTGCATGCATGTACTATCAATTGTATTGCATATAAGTATATCAATCATGTTTCAATATTCCTAAATAAAGTTTTGTGGTTTGACAATGTATTTTACACAGGAAAAATATAAAAGTGTTAGTTACTCACTAATAACTCCTATGTTTTGTACATTAAGGTACATTGTATGAAATAAAATAATTGAACACAATTAGAATGAAATTATTCTATTAAACCACATACTTAATACATACATAATTAATACATTACAGTTGTACTTTTATTATTACAGTACCTACATGTTTTTCATAATAATATTAAACCAGGAAAACATTTAAACGATTTGTACATCAATTCTTATAAAAGTATGTATTGGATATACTTGTAATTTGTAATCTTAATATTGCAAGAAAAATGTGTAATGTGTTCTAATAATTGTGAGCAAGCAAAGATAAGACCTTGTTTTTTTTCTATTATTTATCAATTGAATAAATTACTATATAGTGATAGATAGTTTATTATACTGATAAATCAGAGTAGTATTGACTAAACAAAATAGCTGAAGTGAATATAATAAATAATACTATTATGAAGTTAACCAGTTAAGCAATCATTGCATACCTACTTATTACTTCATTATCTATTTAGATTCCTCTCAGTGCAGGCAGAAGACACCTAGTGCCAATGTTACAATAACAAATTTCCAATATGATATATCAAATATTTGTTTTTGTTTTTAAGGTTTATGGAAATACTAAAGTAATTTAAGTATACACTAAGTTGTCTAATGGAAATCAAAGGTTATTTTTCTTTTAATTATCGTGATATGCTTGGTACATAGTTTATAATTATAATTTTATTGTAGGCGAGTATAATCCAAAAAGGCCAATGCCTTGTGAGGCGGGTTGTGGTCTTGTCATACCTAAAGATGAACTTGGAGATCACAACTGTGTCCGTGAACTTCGAGCTTTAATAGCAACACAACAAGGGAAACTTACAGAGTACCAACAAGAATTAGCTGAACAGAGGCTTGTCATCAATGAGCATAAACGAGAATTGGCATTATTAAAAGTAAGTTATTACTACTACCAACAATACTCAATATACCCATATTTCACAGGATGTATTTAAATGAAATATAGCAAGGATTATCCCTGTGTCTCCAAACTTATTAATTTTTGCTTATTATTGGAGTATTTTTTTTTAATCCAATTTGAAACTTAGTGTATAGCATTGAATATATTGGTACAGTTGTCATCATTATTGTTACTTAACATCATAGTCTTTGTAAATAATAACATATATATATATATGCAAATAATTGTTTTTGTTTCTTTTTTCTTCATTAATGACTGGGCCCTGACACTGAATCTATTTGTCATCACATATTCTGAGTAATTAATATTCAGTTATTATTCTAACCTACATAGCTGTACATTTTCCTTTTAAAAGTATTAAGTAAGGATTGCTATTTGAATATTTTCCTCCTATAAATTTTACGTTGAAAGGGAATACAGACTGTGTTTATATATATGAAACCTGTTGTATTATTACATAAATGTGTGACTATCACGTTAAGTAACAGTAATGATAACAACTGTCTCAAGGTATTCAATGCCATGCACTGTGTTTTAAATTGGATTTAAATCCAATTTGAAACATCCCTCTTGACAAATTAGTAAACTAAACAATAGAGGCATTTCTTTAATGTTCCTATAATATTTTAAGTTCGTTTTTGCCTACAGTAATATTTTTTATCAATTAGTGTCATTCATAAACAATCATTCTCTTTAACCACAGTGTGCTATGTAATGATTTCGCATAATGGATAATTATCACATAACTTCCGCTGCAGGAATTCATGCGAGCGATGCGCTTATCAAACCCAACTATGCGAGCGCTGGCCGACCAAATGGAACGCGAGGAGGTGGTACGCTGGGCGAACTCACTGACGCGGGCGAGGGTCACGCGATGGGGCGGAATGATATCCACCCCCGACGACGTCCTACAGGTGGTAATAAAACCTTGTGCACCTTGTGTTGTAGTATTATGTATATATTTGACGGCTTTAGTAGTCTAGCGGTTTAGCGCCTTACTTCCGGTGGTCGCGGGTTCGATTCCTCGGCACGGTGCAAACATTTGTATTAATGAGTGTGAATGTTTGTATCGGTCTGAGTGTTTTCTATGTATATTACATGTGTATTTACAAGCTCTGCTTTGCTTGAGACTAGGTGGCTCTGTGTAAATGGTGCAAGGATATTATTATTGTTGATATACATATATTTAAGGGTAGTAAACGATGTTTTTTTTTATTTGCCAAAAACAAAATTTCGGAATCGTTAAAATGTCAAGTTCATAGATTCATGTGCATTATTTAAATGATGTCGTTATTGCAAGCTTTGTAGTTACTTATTGTTTTTGCTTATTCCTATATTTGTGCTTTTAATATGGTTTTGAATAAAAATATGGTAACTGGTATTTATTTAATTTATATGATTAACTTATGTGAATTACCACCTACTTGGTATATAAAAAAAATAGTCAGAAACAATGTATGATTGAGTATTTTTTTATTATAGCAAACAAACTATATTGTCTTCTGGTATTTGATATGGCGATATTTGTGGGACAATTTGTTAATTTTGTTGTTCAAATATCAATGCATGGAAAGAACTATTAGTATTTCACATTAATAGCTTTTGAGAAAAGTTCCTACACATAATTAGGATTCTATGGTTTAGATCTAATATAGAATGAATAGAATATTAGATGAATGAGATTTAATTTTATTATCTCCTTAATTCCGAGATTTGAAATTTAGTTTAGTAATCCGTTGTAGAAATGCTATTTCAAGTTCATTGGGAATGGAAAATAATTATCTAACCAATTACTAACCAATACCCAATGGATATAAACAATTGATTTGTATAAGTTATTTTTTCTTCAACAGATGATGATCAAACGGAGTTTATCAGAATCGGGCTGCCCACCACATATAATAGATGATCTCATGGAGAACTGCCACGAACGCAGGTGGCCACCTGGACTGTCATCACTCGAGACTAGGCAAAATAATAGAAGGTATTCACTTTTAACTAGACTACAGCGTGGGGGTTTTCAAGAAGGGTATATTAAGGTTCGGCAACGCGCACGTGACATCCCTGGTGTCTCTGGCGTCCATAGGCTATGGTAACTATTTACCAACAGATGGGCCGTAAACTTGTTTGCCATTATGGTAGTATAAAAAAAACTTATATATTACTAGATGCGTGACGCCTGAAGCATTATGATATTTGTCCAAATGGAACATATAGATTCTGGATTAAAATTAAATTTTTTATGCAAAGCGATGTAAAGGCACAGGGATTATGTTGGGTCTCAAAATAAATTTAATAAATACATCTTAATGGACAATGGTAAAATCTCTAGTGAACTAGTCTAAACTTTGTCATTTATTCATTCATTGTATTTAATATATTCATTACATTTAGGTAGTAGTCAGAGAAGATACTAGAATAATTAAAAACTAAGCATCTTGCAAACCCCGTTCCTGCTTTGCATGGGATATTACCATATTGATAATGTACCTTTTTAACACAAAATCTTTTTAAAAATCAGATCTGGAGAACCTGGCAGTACGCCGAACAAATAAACATACAAACTTTTCCTCTTTATTAAATCTTATCTATTAAATCTGTTTTTTATTTATAGGTTATATGAAAAGTATGTATGCAAGAGAGTGCCAGGCAAACAAGCTGTTCTCGTACTACAATGTGACAACACTCATGTAGATGAACACATGATGGTGGAGCCTGGACTAGTGATGATCTTCGCACATGGCATTGAATAGCACATTGTCACAACGACACACGATGAGAAAACGTCGTGCTAGTTGTACCTTCTCTACAAAATTAGTAATTAATGAATTAAGACGGTCGAGCGTGATATAAGTGTGACAGGTTTCTATGAACAATGTATTCTCCAATCTTAGAGACCAATGAATTTGTACAATTGTTTATGATTGTTTGATACAAGTGTTGAAAAAAGTATTTTTAAGTAAGAGACAGAATTGTTTATAGTATTATTTTACATTAAAATTGGAGTGCTAAACATTCCGCGACTATTTTAAAAACTGTAGTATTAAAAGTAGATATTAAATGCCAGTAAAATGTTTTTATTAATAAAATATTTTACTTTTTTATCATCAGTGATTGAGTGCTGTGTTATGTTAGAATATTTTTGTATATTTACTGCCTTATCAGACTGTTCTAAAATTTATTCCTCTGCAAAATTGGGACATGATTATTTGGTTTTACATGTTTTGTTTGTATTATATTACAGAATTTTTATTTATTGGCTCAATCTTAAATAAAATATAATTTTTCTAAAGATGCCGTTTTATTTTTACGTGTACAACTGTGTGGGCTTGCGCGACGCTGTGCCTGACGCATAGTTTCCTGCGCGGTCGACTTACGTATACAAATTTTTAAGATTAGTAGGCCAAATGAAAAAAGTTCCTAAATACGAAAAAATCACAGACTATAGGCATATTTTTTTTTTCATGATGCTTTGTTGCAATTATAAGAATTAGAAAACTTTCTATTGAAGTTCTTATATGCTTCCATATATGAACTTCAAAATGTATCTACAACATCTGTGCCGTATGCCTGTGCCCCACGGGCCTTGGTCTTACACGTTCATGCATATAAATATTAATTACGCTGTGCTAAACAATGTCTATAGCGCGAACAACGTGGTTGTATACGTAGGCTTATAGTCTAGAAGCATCGTTAATGTTCAAATTTCGACACAGTAAGAGGAGAAGTGATAGTTACCATGTTAGGTAGATCTCCAAAATTCCAGTTGAAGTGACCACGATGAGCCAACTGACCTGACATGGTATTTTCATTCTACACTTGTGCTCAGTCAATGTAAATATATTATATAATTAATGATGATGATGTAATATTAAATTATCATTCATTAATGTATTTTATAATTATTGTTAAAAAAACTGGACTAAATTTAAATACTCGTTTAAATAACAATGAATGGGACGAAAATGTCTCGCGCAGTTGTAAAATTTGTCCATGTTGAGAGTGTTCAAATTCGCCGAGAGTACATATTGACTATTTTTTTTATTTTTATTATGAACTTTATAATATGAAAATGTGAATCCACTATAATTAGGTGTTCTGTGGTCATAATTACCGTCTATGTCAAATAAATGTCAGTGTCATCAAAAACGAAATGTCATGGTTGTCAAATTTGCGTGAACTTGTTTGTTCTTCTTGTCTTGATTTTGTATTCCAAATTTCTTTATTTGCAAAAAGACATCCTGGAATTCATTCGCGATGTCCGAGATGGAGGTAACAGAAAGCGCCAACGACTGTGCCAATGACTTAAGTGAGTATCTGTTCATAGACTATTTTATTTTAAATTAATTTAATGTTATCCTTGCAGATGGTAACCTATTGTTTTTAACCGGTTACATTTTGTTTATTGCTGCGTCATCTGTGTTTATTTCAGTGCTTTTGGACCGTGTATTTCTTCGACTTGGTAATGCGGACACTGACGACCAGCTGGAAAGCTGCCTCACTAGGTTTTTGCCTCCAGTCATTTTAAAACTATCATCTCCTCATGAACAGGTATGTTACCAAAATTTTTCAAATTTGTTCAGTATACCACAGCACCACCTAAAATCAACTATAACTATTTAATTAGAAGAATATTTTGGATATTTTATAATAAAATTAATTAATGTGTGAAACTTGCTTTGTATCTTTTGACTATATTTATTTAAGGTTCGAACTAAAGTGATGGAATTATTGGTACATGTAAACAAACGAGTGAAGTGCCGTGCTGATGTACAGCTTCCTGTGGAAACATTACTGAAGCTCTATCGGGACCCTACTGCAAACAGTTTTATTATTGTGAGTTACTTTATTTATGCAGGTTTTTTAAAGCTGACCCATTTATAAAATTATATAGAGTAAAATCTGTCTGTTTTAAGCATTTAATCAAAATAATGTTTAGTCTTTCTATACTGTTATATAAAGCCTACTTTAAAAATATTTATGAGATACAAAACAATATTTACAAAATTATAACATATTATACAAATATTTTAATGATTTTTAAGTATTGTAGTGTATTTACCTGAATATTATTTGTTTTCATGACATTCTATACTTTTCAGAATTTTTCAATTATATACATAACAATGGGGTTTCCTAGATTGCCTCGTGATCAGCAGTTGATTTTAGCATCATCATTGTTGGAAGCACTAGAGAACAAACCTCAGGGACATCAAGACTCGTAAGTCTAAAGTGATATTGCAATGAAAAAAGATGTTTGATGAAGATAAAATAATGTTTGTTTTATAATAGATTGTCTTTTATCAATATGCTAAGTTATAATGTAACAATAAACTAATATAAAGAAAAAATACAAATTTAATTATATCATGTAAAAAATGTATAATTTGCTGCTACTATTTTATTATATTTACTTACTGTATATTTTTGTATTTTGTTACTATTCCTATGTTTATAAACTTGTATCCAAAATTTTAATTATGCTGAGATTTTATATGATTCCCAGGTTATTGATGCTTGTGATGCCACTGTTAGGAGATATCAAGGAGAGCAATTTAAATCTGAAAGAGAAGCCGAAAGTAGCTTCCCTGATACTGAAGTTTGCGACTGATGTTCTTTTACTGCCTTACAGGTAGCCATTCCTTTTTATATCATTATAAAAAATAATTGAGAATTAGATTTCATTATTTGACTAGTAATAAGAACATCATCACTATTACAGAGATTAAGATACTGAAGTTCTAAAATAATTCTAAATATCAGTTATTTAAAATTTTATTTATGGATGATGATAGAAGTCCATCATTCATCATTATGATCTGTTTATGTAGGCAGTCAGTCTGCTTCATTATCATATTATGGTGAATTCATTAGGCACAATAGTACTAAGTTTATGTCTATATAGGTATATTTATTTACATGAAACTAAACAAGTTTTACAGTTTCCCAATATGCTTAGAAAGATTATTGGGATGCAGTATCTTGGACCTGACATTACACACCCTTCTGTTAAATATTAACTGAACTGAGAAATTCTGTGATATTACATTTCTATTTATATTTAAACATTTCTAGGGCTCTACCAAATGCTGGAGAAAGTGATTTCCAGGTACCGCCAGGAATGAGCATGAAAACATATAAAAGGATTGTGGATAAGACCCAAATGAATCCTAATCAATTGGAAGAGGTACTATTTAGCTTATTATAATTATGTGTTGTATTTTGTATATTTGTGAGACTTACATTACTATAAAAAATATAAATCAAATTACAGACACAGTAGTTAAATGAAAACAAAAAAATTACAGTTTTCATTCTTGTAGGATAAGTGTTCTACAGTATATGACAAAAATTAGCAATTGTACATTTTTTTATTGCATAAACCTTATATTTATAGCAGTATATTTTAAAATTTTATCTTCAAAATTTATCATATATCTACATAACTTGTAGAAAATTATTTTGAAATTGTCTATTTGGTTATTGATATAATATTACAAAATTTTTAATATAAACTAAAATTATGTTTTCAGATGAAGCTTTCAATAGTAAACTTCATAAGTAAAGATATATTCAACAATAACGATATTTTGCTGACTCTGATCGTGGCCGCTGCCGATTCTCGGTTTAGTGTTGCTAATCACGCCAACAGTCCTCTGATAAGGGTGAACAGGTAAACTTAGAAATAATAATATTTGTTTTCTTTTTATATAAAAATAAAGAATATGTATAAGGTAAGAATATGTATAAGCAACAGAAGGATGTATAAGACTTTGTACAGTCTTCTTGTATGTAGCTGTTCTAATAATTCTAATTACAAGTATTTTCTTAAATCTGTTTGCAGTAATAATAAAGAACTTAGTGTTTTGCTATGCTTTGAAAAATAGTAATGTAGAATGATTTTTCCTATACATTATTGCATGTCTTTTTTAGTTCGGGTCAGCTACTCATATGTGAGATTTCAGGTGTTTATAGGCAATGGTAACTATTGCTATCATATGGATCTTACTCTTGTTTGCCACAATTGTAGTATAAAAAATGTAAGGGATACATTTATTGCTTACATTTTCTTATTCTGTTACTAGCACTGCCCGCCGATTCACCCGCGTTAATTTTTAATAAAAAATATAGCCTATTCTGATGTATAAGCTACTACTACTACTAATACTACTGTAAGGTTTTATCAAAATCCGTTCAGTAGTTTTTGCGTAAAACAGTAACAAACCACTATACTCCCAAACTTTTGCGTTTATATTATTAAGATGTATGTTGTTTTCAAGTTTTCATGAATTAAGTGGAATGTGTTTAAATATACAGCTCTGTGGATTGGTCGCAGCCTGCAGTCGTGGCACCTCTTTATTCATTGTATTTGGGTACCTGGGGAGGACTAAAAGTGCCACCAGATGATCGCAAGGTTAGTTGAAGTTAATGTATAAAATTGCCTAATTATTTATCTCTGAGGCAGGACTGAGCCTTACCTTCCCTAAAGAGCAAGTAAGTATGCTGTGTAGGCGAAACATATAATATTAGTAGTACTGTATTAAATTCTAGTTATTTATAATATTTATCTAAAATGAAATAAGTAATCAGAATTGCTGCCAGAAATGTTTGATATTCAGAACTATAGAATAGTGTTTATATTTTGTATTATATCGAGATGGTTTGTATTATAGTTTCTAATAGTTGTATGTGTACAAATGTTGTACAAAATGTATGCCATCTAGTCGGCGTCACAATATTATTAGACAGTCTGATAATAAGCTTCACAGCTTTAAACCAAATTGCTTACGTCAGTTACCGTCTTCTTAAGTGGATAACGGTAACTGACGTAAGCAATTTGGTCTTTTTACATGATTTTATTGTTTACAGGTGCCTGCGTGCACAAGACTTCGTTTAAAACTGATACAGTACCTGAACAAAGCAACTGGCCCCGCTATCATGTTTCCGCATTGTGTTCAGGTTAATTATTTTTCTTAGCACTTTTTTTTTATTTTATTTCATTATGGTTTTCAATCTTCTGTTATATTTTATAAAATACGTATACTGCAACAACTATTGCACATTACTAGCTTTGTGGGACGATTATCCTATGCTCCTATATACTCACGTTCCGGTTAGTGCATTTCCAAAGAAGGTTGGCGTAGTAATCAACGATTCAATCGAATGGTAGCAGCGTAAGAGAATCGTCAGTTTGAATATAATAATGTACGAGTGCACTAATATATATCTTTATGAAAAAACATATTATTTCAATAATTTAATTATAGTTTGGTGATGGGATTAGACATTGATAATCCTACAATAATAGCTTTAAGAGCTCATGAACTCTTGGGTTAATAACGCTCTTTCTGTAAGACTAGAATATTTTAGTAATGAATCATTGCACGGTAAGTACCATTATAATGTAGTAGACATCAGCCCTGCATGTGTCACATTCACAGCTTATGCCTACATGTCTGTATATGTATATATATTTTTTAAAGTACACACTCTAATAATAATGTAAACTACTCGTTGTAAGCTTCACATTTAAATATGTACGGCTTGGTATATTCATTATTAAGTATGAAAAAATACAGGTAATTACAAAGAGGTCAAGTACCTGCCAGGTTTATAACTTTGATTGATATTAAATAGTACATATTATTTTTCAGGTGGTATTTTCATCTTTATTTGATCCTAATACGAACTCGCGTCTCCGAAACATGGCACTTATGTTTTTGCTCAACGTAATTAACAGGTGAGAGAGCGTACTTATTTATAACACTTCGGGGACTTCATTTCGCAAGTAGAGGAAGGATTTCATATAAATTTATAAATATCTGTAGTTTTATACTTGGTATATCCTCAATGAATACTGTTTTGGTATCGGAATAATAGTAAATTTAGTAATTAAATAAGTAAGATAAATAGTTTTTTTTACTTGATTGTGTATTTTGTTGTTATTATTGCTTTAGAGTATGCCTAATAAATATATATGTATTCCTAAAATATATGTATATCAGGGTATAACTTGTAATTGGAATGGTATACACATGCTGTCTGTCTACCCCTATTCTAATTACCATTAATTACTACCAATCGCTAATATAAATGGTTTGCACTTCAGACATCACGTTATCACGTGATACCCAAAGCTCATGCATTACCATTTCAAATGAATCGTAAAGCATGAGCAAGCATGATTCAAATAAAATGAATTAAGAGTTTAATAGTATATTAATGAGTTGTAATATTTTTTAGTGGAGACCAGAGTCAACTAAAGAAAGTGGCGACAGTATTTCTACAGGGCCTGCTCAAGTTAGTACGATCAGAGGAGCACGCTGAACACCAGCCTAAGGCTTACATGTGCTTAGGTATGTTACTCATATATTTTTAATGATTTCGTAATTTTTACCGAACCATCTCCCATCGTCTTTCGAGCTCTCAGTGAAAAAAGACGTAAAAGATTGTGTGAATAAAGTCAGTTTGTTAATAAAGTTTAAATAAATATGTTTCTAACAGGTAGACTGGCAATGAAGTGCCCGGAGAGTATCAATAATCAATTTGCATTACTTGAGGAACTCGTTAAGAAGATTCCCGAGGCGCCGCCGGAGATGAAGACAGCTCTAAGAGATGCGATTCTCGAGATGGCAGTCGCTTATAAAATCACACCTAAAGGTATAAAATTACGTTTTGTCTATTGCACTGAGCAAATTAGTTTGCCACACACAATGTTAAATGACTGATGGTAATTTTTTAAATTATCTAGTTATGGAGTCTTAATTAATGGAAGCGAAAAACATATACGCCGACCCCAAATAAATGGGATACAATGGGATGACTGATGGTAATTTTTTAAATTATCTAGTTATGGAGTCTTAATTGCCATTATATAGTCACCTAATCACCCAATCACCCCTCTATGATATAATACCCCTCATCTACAAGCTTGAAGATAAATATAAATACTTTTATTACAATTTATTTGATCAGTAGATAAGATGTCGTGCTAATAATCATGATGATGTCAAGACGAATGTTTTCATTCAATGATATGATTTTTATTTATCAGAAACGCCTTCAGTGGCATCCACAGCCGAAGGTCCAAGTACATCGCAGAGCAGTAAGATGGAAGTGGATGAGCCAACTAGTCCGTTTGATGAGCCACAAGCGTTGGCACTGTTTGCTTTGCTTGATCAGTAAGTATTATCTATTATTCGAAAACTGATGTGCAGAAGTAGAAGATTAGTAAACTCAACTGTTTGTAAGGATTTAGGAACAGTTGGCGCCCTAACTTTAACCTAGGATTTAATATTCCACCGAATTACGTAAGAAGTGTCACCCGTCGTCGTGTCCGACTGTTTGCAACTACGGCGGTACGTACTAGCCACGCTAATAATTGTGCCACTATGCGAGCATTGCAACTATTAAATTTATTATTGGGTAAGGTCCAAGATGCTGACGTATACACAGAAGCCTTGCCTTCTATAATAAATAAAATAAGAATGTTTTTGTCATTATATAGTTGAGTATAATAGTTTTAATATATAAACGTGTTGGCAATTACCTGTAAGTTTATATTGTGTTAATTGAACTAAATAAATAAATAAGGGCTCCACCCTGCCGCACCATGGCTACGCCCTCGTTATAAAAATGGGCATGTTATAAAAATGCTAATATTTTCTTGACAGCTACATGCACAGCGACGAGTCTATGATACGATATGTGGCTATGAGGTACTCGGCCACTGTGTTCCCGCAGGACTATGTGCCCTCGAGATACTTACTCCTACTAGCCAGTGGTGACAGGTGAGTTTTCACTAGACTTAGAAGTCAAGTAAAAAGTATAAGGTTAAATAAAAGCGGTAGTTGGTCTGAGACTTCGTACCTGTGGTACATTCCATAAAAATAGTTTATAACATTATATTTAGGTTGTAAACGGAATGGATTAGAACAGACGAAATTTAAAGTGATAGCATTACTTTAAATTTAGTCTGATATTTACAATACAATGGTGAAAACTCTACCCAAACTTGTAACAATTTTTTTGTGAACGAATTAAAACGACACAAATTGTATGTACAACAATAACACTCAACATGTGTTGATTAGGCTGTGTCTGAGATTAACATATACGAACACACTGGCAATTGTGACCTTGAAAACTAAAATTTATTTAGTCTCATGTTTTACATTTGTATTTAAAATTTTAGTCAAGATGAAATATCTACTGAAGCCCTAAAATATCTATACGGCACTTCTCGTCCAAACGAAATCGAGGATGTAGTTAACAACGTATCAAGGAAAGAGACAACAGTAGTCAATATAGATGAAGATACATCAAAGAAAGAAAGGGACAGAACACAGGAAGTGGTCGAATTTAAAGTGCCAAGATTCAAGGAAGTAGTTAATTATATTTGGGAGCAAATACAGAAAAGGAAGAAGGGCTCTAATTCTAAACATAGATTCGTGATCGGTAATCAAGTGTTGCAATTTCATCCGCTTACGTACCAGGAGGTGAGTGCAAGCTGATGATTATCATATTCTTTTATTGCGTCACAAATAGGGACCATAATCGTATAAGCTACTGTTGCATAGGAGTATTTGCTGCTACTGTAGCCTTCACTCAACAACGATTCGTACTACTGAAGTCTGACTTAATTAAATATAGTAAAATGATGTATTGAATTGTCAATATTCTCTTAGTTATTTATGTTATAGATTATATAATGAAAAAAACTATCTACATATACCTACTCGATATTGGATGTTATAAAACATAATTTATAATAATGTCCCTAATGTCCCCAGATTCTGAGGTACATGCGTATGACCTTGAACAAAGACGCAGATCTGCAGGACTGTTCTAATCACCCGAACGCGACCTCTCCCCTCCTAACGAAGTACTTCTATGACAAGTTGCTCGAAACTGAAGTGCTGGAGAGATACTTGACCATGATCACTACAATACTGACTGCTAGTCCTGGTAAGTTTCATCACATTATCATTGCCTCAGATTAGACTTCTGAATGTTACCTAATTGAGAGCTATTGATAATTCATAAATGTACTTAGCCAATTTACTCAAATTTCAGAAATAATGCCCCTAACCTGTTTTCTCGATATCGTCGGTTGTGTCCCAGAGAAAATGTCGGGCAAATATTCCAGTTTACTCCCATTCCTCAGGACTTTATTTACGACCAGTACCAAGGAAGAGATCAGAGATACAGCCGCAGTGATATACGCGATTATCACAGTGAATACAAGTGAGAAATCGGCGATAGATAACGAGATTACAGAGTTCGTGGCGCAGGGAAGAGGGAATAAAAACTTGGAAACCCAGTGTGGGTATCTGTGTGCGTTTGCGCACTTGTGTGAGAGAAGTATTGTGATGGCGAAGAAAGGGAAATTTGGTGGCAAAGGTTTCAACGCTACAAACTGGGAACCTTTTAAAGAGGGTGTTTTATGCTTAGGTGAGTATATTTTTATATTATAATATTTTTTATATCTAAAAATGCCAATCTGGTTACAAATATTTATATATGTTTTTTATAGACTTAAAAGAGTATCGTGTTAAACATTCACTGCAGACGCGTTCGTACCTATTTCAATATCGTACTTATTTATATGTATTATTATGTCCATGTTGGAATTACGGACCAACTTATGTAGATGTCGTTTTTGATGTGAATTAGTGTAAATAGTAGTTGTGGTAAAAAGGAAAAAAATATTAGTATTCATAACTGTCGACCTTATAGAATAAATTGCTAACAAAATTTTTTTCTATAAGGTCGACATCCATGCGATATCCTGGTCCTATCCCTACTTCACTGTCCAATCTGATTCCAACAGGCCATTCATACACGAAGAAAAGTAATCTTCGTTTCTATCCAATTGTAATAAGTGTATTTGTGTATTATTACAGTTAATTACTTAATCAATCCTCAAACGCTTCTGGTCAGTACGTCTTGTTCAGCGGTGTCGTTACTCGCACGCTGCACTAGCTTACCGCTACCCAATTCCACTACAAAACAAGACGCACTCATGGAGACAGATAATCCATTCAATATAAACAAGAGTGATACAGAAGTTGTGGGCGATGACGTCATCACAAAATTCACAGTAGCGGATAAGTTGTTCAAAATTGTTGGCAACGCGAAATTACCGTCAAAGGTCAAAGAGAAAGCACTTTATACGCTCGGCTTGTTATGTTGCGGCGAGAGATTTCCGTTCCCGAAGGAAATTGTTAAAGGTTTCTTGCAGATGGCTAAAGATGTGAGTTTATTTGATTAGTTATCTAGATCATCTATTTTATTTGTAGTATGTGATTTTACTTTAGAGAATCAATATACTTGGAAATGGAATCAATAGACTTTGCTGTACTTGGTATTGGTTTATTGGTACTTGAATTAATGTTAGTTTATTTATAAATTATATTTATTTATTCTATGTTTTTTATTATATTTTCAGAGCAAAGAGTTTGAGATTCACTTGCAGATCGGTGAATCATTAGTCTTATGTGTAGAAGGAATTAACTCTAACGAGAATAGAGACCTATGGACAGAATTGCCCAAAGAGGTATTTATTGTAGTGTATTTCATTATTAAGATAATGGTTTATGTAATCTAGCGTATATAATATCTAACTACATATATTTACACGGTAGTTAATATATTTATTTATTCTAGGGTCCTGATAAAGTTACAAATAAAGAAGCACAAAAAGAAAATGATGATTTACTCGAGTGGTTGCTTCAAGAGCTATTCAAAATCGGGAAACAGCCACATCCACACTCCAGACAAGTATATATTTTTATTAAACATAAATGAAATTATATTCGTAGTTATCGGAAAAATAACTTTTGTTTCTAAGCCGATTGGAATGGAACAAATTTTGTTACGGGATGTTTGCTGGAAGACATTAAATGGAAATTGTTAAGTCATTTCTGAGATTATTTAGAATAGTTCTTAGTAATTATAACGCATAAGGGTTGTCATACATATTCAGTGACAACGTGATGTTCTTGGAGAATGAAATGAAAGAAAATTTGTTATTGTTCTCCTCATAGAAAAATAAAAGAAACATTTACATACTAATAATATTTTCAGGCAACAAGTATATGGCTATTAGCACTCTTGAAGAATTGCCCTGAACGTGTCCCCATAAAGAATAAGTTGCAAGAACTACAAAACGTTTTTATGGATTACCTTTCGGAAAATAGCGGTAAGTTGAACATTACTTTATGTAATGTAGCAGAGAAAAATATGGAGTATAACTAGGGTTAATTTGAAAGTGTACCCAAAATACTGATATATTTTCAATGGAATTGCAATTTTTCCTGATAAAATTTCTCGACAAATGAAAACAATTGCCGCAATTTCATATTTTTATGTCATGTTTTTTACTAGCCTGAATATAAAGTGTTCATTATTCAAATAAAATATATTTAAAGACATTTTTATTAATCGAGTATGTAATATAACTTAATTTAACAGAGATAGTACAAGATGTGGCCAGTAAAGGTCTGAGCCTTGTGTATCAGAACTCAGATGAGAGTCAGAAGCAAGCTCTGGTCTCTCAGATCATAGACCAGTTGACGAGCGGTAAGCGTGCCGTCACACAAGTCACAGAGGATACCAAGATATTTGAAGAGGGTCAACTGGGGAAAGCGCCCACTGGGTAAGTTCTCACTGTTCCCGTTTTCTATTTTGTTTATTAACCGTTTGCTATAAAATTAACACAATGTGAAGTAATTTTACTACAATACGTTACCGAAAATCATATCCAAAGCAGTTAAGTCATTTCTGAGATTAGCGTGTACAAAAAAAAATGTAAAAGTTTTTCTTATTTATCTTACACTAGCTACCCGCCTCGGCTTCGCATGGTACATATAAAGCTTCCTCTTGAATGACTCTACTATTGCTAAAAATTGCATTAGCTAAGCTCAAAGATCTGAAAGTATCTAAGCGAAGAGAGAGCAGAAGTGTCTTCATTTTGTACTATGCTGCGAATTTATTATACGTACAGATTTTGTGGATGATTTTTTTTGTTTCAGCGGGAATCTTTCTACATACAAGGAATTATGTTCACTGGCTTCGGATTTGAATCAACCAGACCTGCTGTATAAATTTATGCACTTAGCGCATCATAATTCTGTATGGAACTCGAAAAAAGGTGAGTGCTTTGATGGTTACTATAATTATATGAATGTGTTTCTTATTTGTTTTGTTTGTTAAATGCAGATTTTCAGGAATACAGGAATGTATTTGCTATCATAGTATTGTTGTAGATGTTGGAGTTGGCGTATTATATGTATGTTTTATACTGTGACAATATAAAAGAATCTTGTTCATTAAATATGATTTTTTGTGTATTAACAAATATTCGCCAACGAAATGTTATGAGATTGTTAATATTATGCCTTCAGCATGAGCTGCCTTTAAATTCGGTAAGGGACGAATTTCTTTTATTAATTCTAATAAGGTTACATGACACGAGCGCCGTAAATACATTTTATATTGTGTTGTCATTCTTGTATTATAACGACCGATTTACACTTTACATTAAGTTGTCCGTATTAGCTTTCCAGATATTTAAAATAATGTTATCGAATTATTGCAGGCGCGGCATTTGGGTTCCAGTCGATCGCACGCAGCGCGGGTGCGGCGCTTGCACCGCAGCTGGGTCGCATCGTGCCGCGCCTTTTCCGCTATCGGTTCGATCCCACGCCGCGCATACAGAACTCCATGGCCGCCATCTGGCATGCTCTCGTGCCTAACACTCACGCCACGGTTAGTTCTATTATAATTCGAAGCATTAAGCTATTTATATATTCTTTTGTATACATTAGTATGTACTATGATCTGTGATATTTTTTATATGACAGCTTTATATACATTTCAAAACTATTTTGCATGTTTCGATGTCTCTCACAGGTGCAAAAATATCATAAAGAAATTCTGGATGACTTGGTAGCGAACTTAACAAGCAATCAGTGGCGCGTGAGGATGTCCTGTTGTAATGCTCTCGCTGATTTGCTGAGGTATGCTTAGTCTTATTTTCGTTGATTAAAATGATATAATATACAGGTGATTTATTTAGAGAATATTGGGGCATATATGCTATATGAAGAACTACTGAACATCGTAATACTATATTTGTTTGATTACAATTATACAGTTTAAATTTTTTTATAAATACAGTATAAAGATTCATACTCTACATATTATAGTCCATAGACGGAGATATAATAGTCACGGAATGAAGTCACAGAACGAACGTAGCTCTATCTCGCTGAGCTTCCGTAAAGCGTGAGATCACTCAGTTTATTTAAATGTTTTATACAGTATTTGTATAGTTGCCCGTGCCTACTTAAATATAATTCGTTTTTATTATCGCAAGTAGGGCAAACATGGTTTATATAAAATAAGTCAAAGACATAACAATAGACTGCCTTATCAATATGTAGCAATTTTCTACTGAAATTAAAAAAATCGTTTAATTTTAAATATCTTTATAGTAAATTTCTTCTCTATTTTTTGTCTTTTTTTACCGCTTTACGCGAGTGTGCAATATCTAGGATAGAGATCTTATAATCAAATACATTGTCCTTAATCCCATAAACTTTCCGGAAGGAATTTTTAAAATGATTATACAAACCATTAGAAGAAATAAGCAAAGAAAGATAGACGAAAACAGCGACGTGCATGTATGCCATTTATAGAGTTTTGAGTTGTATCTCAGAGGCGCGGCGAGCCTGCAGCCATCTCTGCCGCTGCTGCCGAAGGTGTGGGCGCAACTGTTCCGCGTCATGGACGACGTGCACGAGGGCACCCGCAACGCTGCCACCTCCACCGCACAAGTGCTCTCTAAGGTTCTCGTCACCTTATATTAGTAGCCAATTGATGGTCCAGCGGTTTAACACACCGTACTTCAGATTCGGTGCGATTCTTCGCACGGTAAATGACTCATGTATATAAACATTTGTATTCATGAGTGATCGTTTGTGTCGGTCGGGTATATTCTATGGATATTACATATGTATTTAAAAAAAATATATTTAATTTATATATATATCAATTGTCTTATAACACAAGCTCTACCACTTGGTGATCCAGCGGTTTAGCACACTGCCTTACTCTCGATTTGGTTCGATTCTTCGCACGGTGCAAACGTTTGTATTCATGAGTATGACCGTTTGTGACGGTCTGGGTATTTTCTATATATATTATCTATGTATTTATAACCATATATATCATTTGTCTAGTACTAATAAGTAGAGCTTACTACTTAGTTTAGGGCAAGATGGCGCTATGTGATATGATTGTCTAGGGTTGTTTAATATTATTAGAATTGGTTGTTATTTGTAGCATAGACTCAGCTTAGTTTGAGCCCAAAAGGTGCGTTGATAATAACCACGGTTACTTATTATTATTCAAAATTGCGTTTCTCATTACATTTACAGATATGTATACGTGCATCGGACGTGAATCAAGGCAAGGACGGCAAGCAGGTGGTGTCAGTGATACTGCCCGTACTGCTAGATAACGGTATCACCAATCTTGTGAAAGAAGTCCGCAGTGTTAGGTGAGATCACAGTAGATGAAGTATTATAGAAATATATATATATATATATATATATATATATAATTACTCGCATTTATATTCTCAGTATAGAATTTTGTAAATTAGTTTAAGTCGAGCTTTCAACCTAACCAATGTAGAAAATTCTTATTAAAAGGAACAAATACAGATTGAAGTCTGTTGTTCTTGTTTGTCTTTTTTCTCCCATTTATAAATATTATTTTACTTGGTATTTCTCGCTTCGTGATATGATGCTTATCCATACTTGCTTTCTATAGATGAAATATATTTTTTTAATACAACTAGTATTCCTTATTTCATATAAAAAAAATATTTGTTTAGGAAAGAGACAAAGGCAAATCATATTTTTTTATTATCTATATGATCAATCTGTATATTAAATACTTGCAGTTTACAAACAGTATCGAAACTAGTGACGGCAGCGGGTGATAGCCTGAAACCATTTCTGTGCAAGTTGATACCGGCATTAGTTGGCGCGGCTGGTGATCTAGAGTCAGCCAAGTTGTCCTACCTCAGCACTGCGCTGGCAGACAACGACTCGCGCGAGTTACTTGACGACATGCGTGCCGCCGCTGCTAGACAACACTACACCACAGATACTGTAGTCAAGGTATGTTGTTACCACAGACGATAGAAATATTAACGTTCCCTTCATGAAATACCATTAAAAGATAAAACGATACAAGTTGTACAAAAGGCCTCCTTATCGCTATATACTCGTAGTCACGAATTAAAAAGAACTTTAGACAGAGATATACTCTCTGTTTATTGTGATTTTGTTTTTATTAAAACAAGTTCTTTGGAACTTTTTTTCATGTATATCTTTATGACATGCGCACATTGTACTCGGTATATATATTTAAATAAAACGTGCATTGAATCGACTACTGTCCCTGAGATTAATTTAGTTTTCTTATCGTCATTTTGATAACCAGTCAGTCAACCAGTCAAAAGTGATTAACACAAATTTATTTTGGGTGACGGCCAGATTTCAATTCACGACAGTTTGATTTAAGTACTAAGTTGCGTTCAACTGTAAATAAAGTACTTAAGAACTAATTGAGATCATTGGCGTTCCCAATGAGATCATTAGTTCTTAAATACTTGTACTTTATTTACAATTCATATCCACAGTGTATGCCTTACGTCGACATCGACGTATTAAAAGAGACGCTACCGAAAATGTTGGAGCTCATGAAGTCTCCACAACTTGGTACGAAGGTCGCGTGTTGTCATTTCGTAGTCCTCGCGGCGCATTATCTGAGGGCGGACCTGGAACCAGTAGCTGGAAAGATCATGTCCAATCTGTTGAATGGCACCTTTGATAGAAACGCCACAGTTAGGAAGAATTACGCTGAGGCTCTTGGGCAAGTGGCCGCTTATGCGAAGGTAAGTTCTGGAATATTGTTCATACTTAATTATTCTAATTACTTGCAATTTATGTAGGTATTTTTTATATACAATATGGCTTACAAGACCCTCTAATATTAGCTTATGTATAGGTTAAAGACAACATTTTAAAGTCAGGCTTATTTGTTACTATGTTTTAGATTAGATTATGAAAAAAATATTAGTTCAGATTATTCTCTCACATCTGATCCAAATACTCTCAATAAGTTTAATAATTTACAGCCACAATCAGCCGAAAAGTTAATGAAGAAATTAGTTAATTTATATGAAACAAAAGAAGATGACATGTCGCGATCGGCTATCGCTCTTACGCTGAAGTCTGTGGCGAAGGCTAAGATAGAACATATTAAGGATAACGAAGAAATATTGGCGCCTATGGTGTTTTTGGCAATGCATGGACCTAAAGATGAGGGTTAGTTTTAATATTCTGATTTTAGAAATTCACACTCCTTAGTATTTCGACTTATGACTAAAAGTCAGGTTTTCAAATCTAACAGACCAAAGTACTTTGTCAATTTATATTTGTCTGTCTCTCCTGGGATGGAAAGAGGAATACAAAAAAATAATTAATATGAGAGATGGCGGTAGGCTGCCCTTTCCCACGTTTGTTTCAAATATACCAAGCAAAAGGTGTAAAAGTGTTACGTTCAGGGCGATGGTAACAGTTCATAATGCCTCTGAGATTCTGATATGGGATAAAGGTGCATTATTATTGTATATATTTTTTACCTTTATCTATTATTTTTTGACACAATATTTATTAATTAGCAGTCACAAATTCTTATAGAATTGATAAACAATGTTTTCCGTTAATTTATGTAGTAAGTACGTAAATGAGGTATTGATTATGTAATTAGATTCATCAACGGTGGAAATGTACGAAGAGATATGGACGGACATAAGCCCGACGCGAGAGAGCGGCATCCGACAACATCTGGCCGCGATACGACTCGAGATAGAGAACTCTCTCAACTCCAGTAGCTGGACGAAGAAGATCCAGGTATATTATATTATTCTCATCTACAGGAGGGGCCGTCTATAAATACGTCACGCGTTGAGCGGGTAGGGGAAGGGGGTTTACAAAGTGACAAGGGGCGTCCATTTCATAACGTCATATTTAAAATGTAATATTCCAATAAACCAATATGCAAGACGTCATTTATTTTCTGATGAACAAAATGTGTGGTAAATTCATACGTAAATTCAACGACTACGTTTTATTGTAAGAGCCACTAGTCTCCGTTACTAACGATTACTTCTCTTAAATTATTTACTAGATGAAATAATTCTGTGAATATATGCAGGGGGCGAACGCGATAATAACAGTGAGTAAAGAATCCTCAGCTGGTCTGGGCGAACAACGATCGCCGCTACTTCGGTCTCTACTGGCCGCCGCTCACGGGAAGACCTTCGCCGGAAAAGAACATCTACTACGAGCTCTCGCACAACTCTGCCTGTCAGTATACACATTAATAGAAAATTCTTATAGTAATATCAGAAATATAAATAAGAACAGTAATGGGCACTGACCCATTGAACATAGTTACACAAGTGGCATAAAAGAACATCCTATTTGTGGAAGCCGAAGAGTTACCCGCTCACGTAATTTTTAAATAAAAAAAATAGTAGTGGCCATAATACACAAATTATCGTAGTGAGGTTGATCCGAGGCCTGTAGAGATACTAGGAAGTTCTACGCTTCTGAGAGTACTTTTGCTCGCTACTGTATTTGTCTTCGATTAATCGATAAGTCGCCCTAATGCGAATACTGAAAACAGAGCCCAATTTACTTACACGTGTCATGTGTTGAATACAAGGAATTTTTTATCGAAACTGGTATAATAATATTATAAAAAGGAAATGATTGCTTTTTTGTTTGTGATTAAAATTCAAAATATACCTGATGAGTAAGTATATACTTTGTAATAATCCTGCCATATCTTGTAATAATGGAAATTGATGAGAGAGGTATACCACTGCAGATAAATTTGTGCAGGGACTGTTATTGGAGGTATAAATCTAGATTTATACCGAATTATTTGTATTCCAGGGTAAAGGATGGCGAGGCTCCCATCCCGGCTTCGCTAGTAGCAGACTGTCTGAATGCGTTGGTGGTGGAATGTCGTAAACAAGAGATGGTATACAAAAGGCACGCAATAGCAGCGCTGGGTGATGCTCTAGCGGCAACAAGCACTGACCGATTCAATCAGGTCTACGAGATCGTGAAGGTTATATTGTCCAAGGTTAGTTACCGTGTGTTTCGGTGTGAAGCTTGGGGATATGGCATATTTTCAGTAGAAATAGTCACTTTTCCGACAGGTTTTACTGTTGTTGTCGATACGCTACTATTTAAAAATAAAAAATATCCTGACATACATACACAGTTGTTAAAATCCTTTCGACAACTAGATAATGACTCATTTTACATTTTAATAAATGTTATATTATGTACAGTTAATAAGTGTTGGTGATCTTGTAATTGTTAATATATAACATATTCAAGTGCATATTATATTTGTAGGATGAATCGTCAGTTGGTAAAGAATCAGATGAAGAGGACAATGAAGGAGCGAGACAAAGAAGAGAACAATTGACCGCATTGAAAGAAGCGGCTTATGAACTCTTAGGCAAAGCATGGCCAAAAGATCAGGAGACGCAAGGTAATGTTAAGAAATTCAAAGTAAATAAATAGTATTTGAATTACCTTTTAAATTACACTTCAAAAGTTTTTTTATTTTCCTTTATTTTTTTCGACCATACTATGTTTTTATCAGTCCTGAATCCATCCAAAAAATATGACTTTATAATAATTAATAAACTCCTGTTAGTCAATATTAAAGAAAAGGTATTTTAATCATTTGATCTGTTTATATATATTTTCTTCAAATTAGTAAAAAAATGGAGAGAAATAGGCTGTTTAGAGAAAGATTAAGGTATAACAGTTATAGCCACTTATATCCGACAGTTTTTATTACTATATTTAATTCTACCGTATATATATCTACAAGCATTGCTCTTTCTATAATAATGAATAATTATATTTATTTACGTAACAAACTCTGCTATAACCTAATTATAATACATGTTTTAATAGATAAATATCAAGATGTATTCTTCGAGCACTGCGCACAGTCGTACTCTACAAGTTCCCGGTCGACCCAGCTGGCCATCTTGACATCTATCACGCGGGTGTTGGAGAGGCTCACCATACTCAGTGCAGATGAACCTATGGAGACCGATAACGTGACCACAAACAATAGGGACAAATCCATAGCTAACGTCACGGAGCATGTTTCTTTCATTATTGATTACACATTGAGTAAGTAGATAAATGATTATTCCAATATCAAGTAGATTTGCTCAAAGATGTGAATTTACTTACTATTTTTAGCATACTACTATTATTAGCATGTGTGTGCAACAAACTTTCACTGCAGAAACCTGATCACGTTACCGGAAGCGTGTAACAATTATATGTTCTTTATATATCAACAAATTTATACATCTTTGAACAATCTTCTATTACCCTTGTGGTTAGTAAAGAGTGTACGACGACAAATAGACCAATGATGTGTAAATATGAAAATATTATTTTTATAATTTCATACTTAGTTGATCATTTAACAATTAGTAATAGTGCAATTAGTATAAAGGTTTTTAAGAAATATTTTCTTTTTTCTACTTTACTTTTGGGAAAGTTTTAAATTTTTTTGAGTAACACATTAGTGTTTAGATCTGTTTGTTTCATTTTATTCCTTGCTATATTTTCTCCAAATAGAGCTACTATGTCTAGTCAGATTTTGTACTAGATATATTACTTAGTAATTGAATACATGATTATGCTTCATACATGTTATATTTTTAATCTAAAACATTCTTTTCTGTTTCATTTACAGAAAACAGCAATCAAGTAAGGCATCGGAGAGATGCTCTGAATATAATGGAAATACTAATAAAACCATTAAAAGGTAATAATATTTATAAGACAATATTGTTGATTTGTATTTTAATTAACCATTATGTTAAAATGAGTAAGTAGGGAAAATAAAAGGGTTTTTGTTTCGTAACGTACATCATTTGTCTGCTTTATTTTTTAATGAGTGATTTCGAAAACAGACATGCATAGATTATTTACCTAAGTATAAACAATGGATTTAATAAACTTCTTCATTTAACAATATTTTTATTAAAGTTATGTTTATTTTTCAGATTTAAACAAAACAACAGAATTAAATAAACTAAAAGACATATACCAGTGTTATGCTCAAGATCTGTCAAAGGATTCATCACACGAAATAAGAACCAAAGTTGATAGTATCAAAGTTCATTTTAAGTAGAAAATGATTATTTATTCGCAATGCAGTCGGACTAATAATAAAAAAATATATATTAAAATGGGTTTCATTATATTTTTGTGCTATTCTGAGCACAGCCGTGTTTAATTATATGAAATTCAGCTATATGCTCCAGTCCAGTATTTAATGTCTATTTTTATATAACAATGCCACTCAGCTACTGTGTAATGAATATAGACAACAGGTAAAATGAATAAAACATACAAATGTAATATATTATCACAATATTTTAATGTAGCAATTAAAATAAATTTAAACTATGGAATGAAGTAAAGTATGTATATATAAAGTATTTTTTTATAAGCAATAACCAACCTACTACCACACTTATACATTTCCCCACTGAGAACAAAATGTTAAGTTTGTGTTACCTGTATACTTACACATGTGTTGTGAAAGTATACAGTATTTTTATTTGTATTTAGAAAGTATACAATATTTCACATGTTTTTATGCATAACATAAGTAAAATAGTCGACGCTTTGGATATGTACCTCAAGTATGTTCAAGAGGAACGAAAGTAGGTAAGAACTATGTCTTTTAAAAAACCAGACATAGAAATCAACCAGTTTTACATTGAATAGTAGATAGAAATTCAAGTTTTATTTAGAATATATTGAGAATTCGACTCTGTTAGCAAAATCCACAACAACAATGTTATGTTTATTCTTCGCTTCCATAACTAGCGGACTATAGTTAATATTGACTTTAAACAGTTGTCAAACAATAATTAGCTGTCATTATACATTTTTATGATGGTTTAATAATAAAATAAATGTTCTGAATATATATTTCTATAAATGTCAAAGATTAAAAAATAATCAATACAATTAAAGCGCTACTATATTCTTGAGGTAATAATGTAGAATTGAAATAGCAGTAATAGTGTCAAAAATTTGATTTATACTAAACGTCCAAAATCTTTGTATAGTGTAATCAACATTCACGAAGTCACTTATCATATAGAATTTATTATACAGAAAAACAATGTAGTAAAGTTTCATAATACATTATAAAAACAAAATAAGCCAGAAAATAATTTACCAGCAAATAACATATTTTTATACACTCATAAGACATCATAATTTTATCATATAGGACATTTGTATGTCAGGTTTTGTTCTAACATCCAGCTTAGCTAGCATATTCAGCCAAGAACTACAAAATGGACTCTTACATTAGTCCACTTTGGTCAAATTTATTCCCTTCAGACCATCTTTATACCCAAGTTATGAGTCATTATAATTAATTATTCTAAGCACCACAGTTCCATTTTAGTATATCCTATTAGAATATATAGAATACAGAGTATTCTGGTGTTGAATATTGTATTTTACTAAAAGGAACCACGGTATTATTTGCGCGGATACAAATTTTACTTCTAAAGTGTTAGTACAAATAATACAGTTTACAATTAAAAACATGATGATTTATTAATGACAACTTTTGTAAGTATACTATGAGACATAATAATTGTGAGGCTTACATACTTAAAAAGATAAAATCTTCCAGATATCTAATTAATTTCATTACTTAATAATTATAATGTATCGGTTTTAGTATAATATGGAGAATTAAGATTTCATATAATTATACTGTTAATATAAACTGATATTATGTAAGTATATAAATAATTTGTAATAATTTAAAAACAACAACTAAATTATAAAAATTGGACGAAGCATAATATTTTGTACATTACTATAATACATTTAATGACATTCATCCAAGTATTCACACAAACAAACAATAATATATGACAACACAAACTATTAACTTTAAATATTCTACATGTACTACGTACTAATATATATGGGGTCAGCCGTAAAGGGTATACCAAGCCGAAAATCAATGATAGTATTCATAAAACAACAAATTACAGCAAAATGTTGTAAAGTATTTTTAAAATCTGCATACAAACTGACGAATGAAGAAATTAATTTATGAAATTATGAAAAATTAAATATTTTACCGCTTCGCTTGTTGCTGAAAGCGCATTAATTTCATTAGTATTCTATCTGATTTATGGTTCTTCCCTTTACAACGAATCTCATATAATTTTTGAAGATTACATTTATTGCACAACTTTTGTATAGGCATTTGTTTAGTTGTCTACTTCAGTGTTTTTCAATTAGTGGTTGTTCCTATATACTACAATAAAAACTACGATTTATTATGATATAAATATCACTGACTTAGTAGTTTTACCCTAACGCTTTAAGAGGTTGCTAAAATATGACAAAGGGGTCGCGTAATAAAAACGTTGAAAAACACTGGTCTACTTTAATTATATAATATTTATATTATTATATAATTGTAGTAAGTGCCGCGGAAAGGCCTCTTGTATTAAATGAAAACTGGACCAGATCAGTTTCTTCCCACACACACTGAAATTGTGGAATGAACTACCTACTGAGGTTCTCTCTGGGGTATATTAAGGCTTCTGCAACACAGATTTAAGCATATACTTGTGTTATAGGAATAAGTCCTTGATTTTCAGGATCTAGAAAAGTACAAATAATTTTATTACAATTATGTTCTTTGCCTACATCTATCGGCTTAAGAATAATTTCTACAGTTCTAAAATTTTGTTCTAACTTCACTTATATTGCATATCTATACATCATCGAAGAGCCCTCTTGGTGGCATCGTCATTCGGTCTCTTCTATCAGACCTGATTGCGGGCTGCGTACTCTCGCCAAACCGATGTTCCAATTCATCTTCTAGAGTCAAATTGTTGCGGTTGTACGGCAGTTCAGCTCTCTGATAACCGGTGACATTCTGTGACCTCTCGGGACTCGGTGTCACGTAGTAGTCTGAGTCGACGTCGTTCAAAAGCCCGGTGTGGGCTGAAAAGTGACCGACATGCACAATAACCGGTATAATTAATTATGGCGAGCAAGTTTTGCTCGATGATTGGCGCTTTATATAAGCCCATCACCGAAGGTTAACACGAATGCGGTGAAAATAGTACAGAGAAACTAAACAGTCGCAAATTTGTTATATTTCACACGCTTAGACTGAGGGCATATAAATTGACCCTTATTTTTACAGTTGGAAAACATATTTGTTACTGCTGCCATGTTGCAATTTCCAAAATATTTATTCTGTATTCATAAGTAATAATTTCTATATGAATCTTCTGATTGTTTTCAATTTCTATACAATATAATGTATAGAAATTATAAATATATTTGAATATATACCAATAGCAATCAGTAATTTAGTATTAATTTCTCCTTTATTATTGTATACACACTTATATAATTGAAAACAAAGTTTTTATTCTTTTATTAGGCAATATAGTGCTTGTTTGTTTTTGCTTTGTTTGCCGTAAAAATCAAGGTCATAGTACGTTGTTATCTCAAAATGTTAATACTTGAAACAATGGAATCATTCCGACTTGTAAGAGTTGTTCATTCTATTATTAGATTTAGTACATGAAGGTGTTCGTGTAGTAGTAGTAGTAATAATGTAAGATTTAAATATTAGTAATATTTAGTGAACAATAGAATTATGTAAGTTCTCTTCACATATTGTTAGTCACAATAAATTTTATAGATAATAATTAGGTACATATCTTGTAGATTATACACAACATAAAACAATTCAGACACATCTTCCCATTTCCAATGATACTGAAAAATGTAGCCTACTTACGAGATCAGAGATGAAAAGGAAGTGGCGACAAATGTTTGTCTTAACCTGTATCCTGTATACATATTCAGCGGGTGTCTAGCACTTGGGCACAGAATCCAAGAACATGCAAATTACTTATTTTTTATATTGCAATACATAAAAAAGGGGGGTAGGGGGTAAAAAAGGGGAGTAATGTGGAATAATGACCCCATTGCTAGCAATGAACCATGTCAGTTTGATCATCGTGATAAATTCTTGGTGAATTTGATACAATGGGCTAACTGACCTGACCTCACCTTATCATCTTCCTATCCTGTCACTGGTGCCCCGCCAGCGTAAACTGTTAGCACAGGCGGGTGGAACAGTCCATTATCATCCATAAGCAAAAATTAAATAAAAAAAATGTATTTGAGAATTTTAAATTACTCAATATTTTGGTTCACTTTACTACAAATTTGAATGACCTAGATATAGGGACAAGAAGGGAAGTTTAGGGGGAGGGTAGGATTAAGTCAGCTAATAAATTGCTGGTTAGGAGTCGGGTTGTCCAAATTAGCATTTTGTTGCGATGGCTAACATCTACGAAGACGATTGGGCGTAGCTGGGCGGGGTCTACTAAATGCGCCAATAGAAGTCGTATTGCGTTTCAACATTAGACGCATTCATGCGTTGACGTTTAACCGACTATATATTGTATATACCCGCTCTAAGTAATTTGTGTGTGTTAGTTTATGTAACTGTAACTTTTTTGTAGGGGATAAAGAGTTTTAATTACACTAATAAGGTGAGCCGTATTACCTCCGTCTTGGCGGTCGCGAGCACTCGTGTAGTTCGAGAAGCGTTCGCTGTAGTCGCGGCGACGGTTCACCGTGTCTTCAGCCCGCTGCCGCCTTCGTTTTTCTGTAAATTTTTTTGGTCTCAATCTCAACTCCTCAATCAACGCTCGGCACTATTTCATTAATTTATGTCTCCATTTAACTGAGTATTTTTTTAGGTCGGTCGGTCGGTCGGTCGGTATACGTTAACCATAAGCCCTTTTACCACGATATCAAAGAAACCTAATAATTGGGTAGCTAGTAGCATAATATTACACTTATTAAACTAAAGAAACTTTCACTAAACATATTATGATACATAGCGATACAGTGGTGAGATGATTACTTATCACGGTAGGCCTTGGACTTGCAAATTGCTAACATAAAATTAATATTTATCTCTCATATTTTATCCGTAGTTTATTATGGATTTCATTGTTGCGGCACTGTGAATCCCCACATTCACAATTATATACGTTATGCGTAAGTATTATGCTTATAAAAACAATTATATATTTTAACCAATAAAAAGGCTTACCTCTTTTGATTATCTCCCTACCCTCATCCACTAGGTCCGTGGTAAGTTCATCATCACCTACAAACTGCTGGAAACCGCAGAACGAGAGCAGGCGACTGCCAAGCGAGAGGTAAGTGGCCAGGCACAATAGCACGACCAGCATCGGGAAGTAAATGTTGAAGCCTTCAGCAATGATGCCCAGCACATCCATATGACCCATTATCTGAAACGATATCCTGTTGTTAGAAAAAAACGGACCACACGACCAAAAGAACAAACTTGGTGATAACTTTTTAGTCGATAACAAGATGTCGGATAATGACAACCATTGATATACATGAACGGCATCATGTCATCACTTCATCATGTAATGGCCGTGGTATTGTTAATACGTTGCCATTTCTGAGCACTAAGGTGTCATGATTACACTGTAATTTCACTGCCATTTCTGTGAAATGACGTTTTCATCTTATAAAGCAAAGGGGGCAGATATAGATGGGATTGTGGAACCCCCATATACGAATTTGTACCAAGTCTACATCTACATCATTAAATAACTATCATGCAATTATTTTTTAAATGACAGCAATAGTAGTCTTACTAACACGTACATAATAGTAAGAGACAACAAGACAGTATGATTTCAAGGTATGTATAATACATAAGATGTGTTTTGTAATGATGGTTATTACTACTCTAAAGATCTATCTTCTCGAAACTACTAAGCATAGAAGACGGCCTTCAAAGTTTACTCTTCTCTGACCCCCCTTCAGAATAAAAATATACGAAGACAAACCAAATATACAGACCTGTGTGTAATATGTCTCCATAATTCGCTCTTTAATAACATGCGAATCCATGTGCACCAAACTGAGGAAGTTTAGACACATGGCTGGCGTTAGACGGCATACCATCATGCCGGAGAAGATCAGGCTGTACTCATTGGTCTGATGATGCGGAGCCAGGTAATAGAGGTTCAGGAGACGGATCTTCAGTACCGTAGAATAGGCGCAGTAGAACATGTAGGCTATTATCATTGTTGATATTGTCTGCAAATAAAAAACAGATATACAAGCTCCTTGACAAAGAGAAGAGTGTGGATGTGTGAACTAAAAAGTCGTCTCCGTGGCATCTATTTCAGTCGCTAAATAATTTTCTGTTGTATTGTAAGATTAGCCAAATTACTGGATCAGAGGAATAAGATCTTAGTCCTCTGAAATAGTAACGCATCAATAGTATCACGGGAGTGACAGTGCTCTTTATCTATACTACAATCAGGAGGGACATCAGGATCAGCATGTTTGCCATTCAAATTATAATATATAATATGATACAACATGCATATGACTTTGTAGAAAATCACTCAGTACACACACACTGCAGAGAGACGACATTTGAAAAAATACTAAACTAGTGATATATAAAACTTACCACAATAGCTGCATAGTTGTAGTTGTTTTTAGCTGCAATGACAATGTTCGCAAATATAGAGAGTACAGGCTTCTTGCAGAAGAATGTCATTTCCGACCACACGACAGCCACGGAGAGAAGGCATGTGATCACTGCCATAGTTTTCAAGAAGTACTGTTTCATGAAACACTCCCAGTACCATTCTAGAAAAGAAAAACATTAAATATAGTTTTAGGATGTCATCTTACATGACGGGTCAGACGCATTGTCAACTATGGATATATTTTGTATCCACTGTGGAAAGGGCGAGCCTACTGGGGATTAAGGGTGAAGAAGACTTTTTCTCCTTTTAACCTAGTTTTCAACTTCCGGGGGGATACTACTTCTAAGTCATTATATGTAATGCCCAGTTGGACCGATCTTCTTATTGTTTTCAAGTCGGCTTCTGAGCATGTTCAGTGCAACCTAGTTGAAACGTCAAGAGAGACCTTATTTCAAAATGATTATTGTTCATTTTATTTACATAATTGATCTGAATTCTACATTAAGGATATATAACCCACAATATAGATGGCATGGGGAAGAGATAGCAATATCAGGTCGCATCAGGTATCAACACATGGCTACCTACAGAAATTATCGAAGTTAATTCCTAGTGATTGATGTGTTAACCGACCCGGCTTCATGTTCATCCTACAATCATTATATATACAATTAGCGCAGTCGGGTTACATTCCATTATTATACTTAAAGTTTTTTTCAGAATTATTATCTCACCAATAAGGGGTGGATACAAAATCCGCTGCACTCTAGGTCGCGGCGTGTGGAATGTGTGCTGGAAGCGCTTGTCAGGTGAGCGAAGGTTGGTTGCGATATCCTCCAAATGGAATATACGTTCCAACATCAATCCCCATTGCGTTTCTGTGCGTTGTAGCACGTGCAGCGCTTTAATAGTCTGTGAATCATATTGCATATTATTTTTTTTTGTAAAAATATAAGTACCATCCATTTAAAGTAAAAGTAACAGGTATGGCTGCAATAGTAACTTATTATTACTAAAGATGTATAAAAGGGTGAAGGGGGGTGCGCCTTTTTTAATCTCCCTACTACTACACCTCACCCTTCTATGTATTAGCATTTAGTAACTACTGAGTATTATCCCTTATAGATTCAATTATGTAATGAAATAAATTGTAGGTACCTTTTTATGCAAGTTTACAAGAGACTTCAAAGATGGCGGCTGGGGGCGTTCCGGTGGGGCACGTGAGTTCAGTCGATCGCGCAACTGTATTGGCAACTTCTGTACTATAGTCTCTACATGTCGATGGAGAGGATGCCCAGATCCTACTGCCGCTGTTACTGAGTTTAAGCTCTAAATAATAAGACAGAAGGAGAAAATGATAATTAGGTCAAGAACAAAGAGGTTATACTCATAAAATTACTTGGTAATTTTTACAGTGTCCAAGAATATTTGAGTGGCACAAGCGCCTTCACGTAATTTGCATGCCTGTATGGTAAATATTGCTGATCAATGGATTTCATGTGGCATCGTATTAATTATACTACTGTACCAATATTTCGCTAATAAATTATTTCATTTCATTTCATTTCATTTCGTAATGATTAAATATGAAATGGTAACAATTGTGTATACTTTTCTATTTTATTTATACTATCATACTATTTTTATTTATTCTCTTCTTAAATTACATTAAAAATGTAATACATGTTTTCTACATGTATAACATTTTTAATGCAATTTCTTTATTTTCTCAATGTATAGTATTAATATTAGTATCACAAGATAACAGTAAATCAGGTTGATATTTATATTATACATTTCATGAAAAAATCCAAACTTACATCTAAAATACTATCCACAGTTTCTTCCGCTTCACACTTGTCTGTACTTAACTTAGCTATCTTGAAATAACTGTATGTTAAAGTATAATTTTTCTTTGAGTTATTCCATAAGTTTCTTGGTACCTCCACTAAAGCATAGCCAAGTAGGAGAATCAATAGGAATAGACCCCAAGTGTTACTTGCAGAGGATGCTATGGCTTTGATTTTAGGACCATCTAAGTAGACGCCGGGCTTTAAAGCAATATATATGAGAAGAATGCCACATATCAACAAATATGAACCATAGTAAATGGCATTGTCGACTAATGCAGATTTAAGTTTTCCTTTAACTGTGAAATCTCCAGCTTTGCTGTAAGATTGCATCATGGGCATTATGAGCCTGAAAACAAATAAGAAAATATATAACGCATTTTCATCAGGTATGTTATTGATATGAAGTTTCGGATACGGATAGGTTTCGGATATAGGAATGATTATTATACCTGATACGGTTACGGATGCGGATATGAAATTATTTCAGATTATCCATTAGTTTCAGATAATCTCGGTGACGGATATTAACTTTTTAAGGAATTTCAGAAAGTAAAATACAAATAGCTAATAAAATGGTTACACAACATGTCCCAATTAGGCTGCACCCCTATCCGATATTATCCATAACTTTTATTTCGGATTCGGTTACGGTTATGAACATTTTTTTAATTATTTATAAAAACTTTCATCATTTATCAATTCTATAATGTTGTATTTACAATTTTTTTATGTAACATTTATTCTAATAAACCTATAACACATACAACTGGTTGTCTGTTATATATTATTATATAATAGTAATTGAGTAGTTAGTTTTGCCTATATCATATAAGAGTTATTTATTAAATGTTGAAATTCATTTCAGATTCTTGTCAGTTCTAAATTTAATCTAAACAGTGAATTGGATAAAAAACAAATTATATAAAAACAAAAAACTTGACTGCATAAGACTACAATGTTCTACATAAATAAATGATTTCCATTTTAAAAGAAGTTGTTTTTATTAAATAATTATAAATTCTCTATTTCATATTATGATTTTATATTTCAAGACTATGTATGTAAATAATATCAGATAATATATCATACAATGTATCCACTTACCATGTCAAACATTGAGATGTCCAATACACTACCCTCCATAAGCTTGGGAACACACAATTCCATGTTTGCTCACATGGGTCTACCGGGGAAGCGGTAGTGTTCTCATTGCTTTGTTGCACCGGCTGGATATTTGTTGTATTCTCTTGTGAACGCTGGATAGTCTGGAAAAAAAAGTTGGTTTGACAATTATAACTATGTTACTATAAGTATTGCCTCTATCTACCCTATTTATTCATTGTTGCAACATTCCATTTATATCAGGAAGACTGTACTAATACGAACATAGTCCAGAGAATGTATAAATGTATTTCTAGAGTTTAGATGAAAATTTATATGTTGATATGATAAAGTTACAACTTTAAAAAGAGACTTATTTAATTTATATTTTAAAGCTTTACATTATGTATATAAAATTTTTAATTTATTCTTTGAAAAATGTAGTAACAGTATATAATAACACTTACAAATGTTATATCCAGCGGCAAAATAAACATAATGACAAAAGAGAAGTACCATGCTGTTAAAACAGACACAGTGACTATTATGTGATTTCTGTAACAGTCTCCATATCTGTACAATAAAGTGGCGGCTAAAATTAATGCAGATATTAATTCGATCACAAACAATGTGTACATCATTGTGCCGAGGAATATTTTTTACTTCTTCTTTACAGTTTTCTGCTTTTCTCTCCAAACTAGAGCTGCTTCGTGTTGCAGCTGCTCGAAACGTACTTGGGTTATGGTTTTCAAAGGTAATAATTTAGGCCGTTCAATCTCGTAATCCGTAGGGCATTCTTCGTAAAACAAAACTCCTGTATCAGGCAAAATAGGATCGAAGTCAACACTGGGCTTTTCCGATCCCTCGCTTGTAGACATTTTAGGTACAGATGGGAAAAGGGGTAAACATCATCGTTTGCACTTAATGAAACACTTTAAATGTTTTTTGTAAACATTAATAATTTACAATTATGTGTATCATACACTTAATTATTTAATTAAATAGCAATTTTGTATTCGTATTCATTTCATTTGTGTGTAATTACGATTTCATTAAATATTTGGTGACAGTGACTGATCTGTCAAAGTCAACAATGGTTGTCAAATTGTTGAGTCACGTCAATGCGTTATCTACTGCAGTCGCGAAAGTGTCATTATCCAATCAATCAGTCGATAGATGAGAGCCACAGAACATTAAAAGATAATTGACAGAAATGGTTACTTTTTTTCTTTCTTTGGCAAGAGGCAAATGGTGACTTGCTCAGTATAAATAAATAGGAACAAGTACTCATTTTTTATTAAATATGTGGATGAGAAATTTCTTCGATTTTTTTATTTTTTTATTATTTACTGATTGCGAATGTTTCGATTTTACTCGACTTCGGCCAATTTGCCAGTAGAATAAAACAAATTCTTTTAAATCAATGTATAGCAGAGTTTAATAAGGGAGAAGGGATTTGGATTGAAGACAGATTAAGTTTTACAGTCCCTTATAGCTAAAAATAAAATTTAGATTATTTTGCACATAAGTGCGTGTAAGTGGTGTAAGTATAACTTAGCAGCTGAATGGCGGTTTATGTTCAAAATGAGAGGTGGACATAAATAAAATTGAGCCACTATACATATATCTGTCGTTAAGGCGACGACCTTTTGGCTACTACATTAGATAGCACCCTAGAAGACGTTTTGGGATAAACCTGATAACAGAGGAATAGCGGCTACTGGAAATAAATGGAATGGAAGGTGAGATTATCGGATTTACCTTGAAGCGTTGATTAAACGAACCTTTGCCTTGATCCTACCTCACTTTCTTTTATTCATCTCAACAAATCCAACCAAATATGTTTTATTTGTGTTACCTATATATTATATATACATACCTACATCACAGATAACATAATAGTACACCTATATGAAGTAAGTAAAGAAAATTATATAATCATTCAAATAGAACCTCTAACGGAATACTAGCGGAATTTGAATTAATCAATTTAATCGGAATTTGCCTGTCCTCTTTGAAAAACTTCAGTACGCGAAGAAAGAAGTTATGTACACGACTTCATATAAATTTTCGTTTTATGAATGTTTCGTTTTATGAATGTCACCTACATTCATAAAACGAAAATTTATATGAAATCGTGTACATACCTAACTTATAACCTAATTGGTTTACAAACTTACTTGTAATGAATTAACAAATTCACAGACAACTAACAATGGCTGAATTGTTTTCAATTAAATTCTATTCAAATATATAGAGTGCATATAACAAATATGGTTAAGATTTTTTTTTTAATGGATGAGTGGAAAGGTGCTTTTGTATTGAGGTCGAACTCACCTTTCATTGCTAAATTGACATTAGATACATAAAGTCACAACAAGACCGTGAAAAGGTTCAAGACTGGATAGACCACGTGCTCAGTTTCAGAAAATAACACCCTGGGGCGTAATAACGCAGTCCGCTGTCTACATATAGGATTGGGAATAATTTTTATAACAACTGTCTGAAACGCGAATGTGTTATATTATATATATTTATCTAATTTAAGTAAAGATTTTGGCATATAATTTAAACAGAAAGAGTACCTATTTTTGTAATTGTTTATAGGTATCTACAATATGTATTGAAAACCTTATTAAAAGTTAATATCTATATTCTAAAAAAAGTAACTCTAATTAAAGAAATATTGATATAAAATAAATAATTATGAAGAAACGATTAATTAATTTGGAAACGTAATAGCGTACCTATATAGCCTTTTTAAATTTAATATAATACGTAACTTAATATTTTATTTATTAATTTAACAACAATAAGTATTCCGTCGCACTTAACAATAATTGAATTACAAAATTATTGACTAAATCTAAATATCTATCTGTGACATACATACAAATACCCTGACCATTTCTGCAATGTTCGACTTACCTACGAAATAATGGCTGAGGAGATGACTTGTATCTGAAATAGCTATAAGTAGGCGCAATGACTTCGAGAATTAAACACAGTGGGATTGGGATCTGTAATGCCTGTGAATAAAGTAAAATAAGTTCTGAAAGGGAGTTGTTTGTAATTATCTTTGAGTCTAGCACAGCGACCCATGTTATTTCTTACTGAGTAGTAGTTAGGATTTTTTGGACTACCTTTTACGTGAGAATATTTGAATAGGTTTTTGTTTGTCTTAGGTAGGTAGGTACGGTAAATTTAGACGTAAAAATAAATTGTAACAACTTTAGGAATAATAAAATATATTTTATCAATATTTACTAGGAAAAGATAACTCTGTATACAACAAGCTTACTTTACTAAGAATGAAATAATTTTGTATAATATTGTGCGCATTAGGAAATAATCTTTTGCATATTTTTTACTAGCTGTCCCCGCGGTTTCACCCGCGTTAAATATATTGTTTTTTTTTAGTGAATGATAATGGAATGATGCTCCCACCTGCGCTAACGGTTTACGCTGGCGGGGCACCAGTGGAGGATGATAAGATGAACATGAAGTCAGGTCAGTTAGCCCATCGTGATAAATTCACCGGGAATTTATCACGATGGTTTCCAGGGGGAACCGCGTGGAGGTCAACCTGACATGGTACATTGTTAGCAATGGGATCATCAGTCCACATTACTAACAATCCCCTTCCCCCCGAAATATATTGTTATAAAGTTTCTTTAGAATCTATTAAGTAGTTTTTAGTGAAAGAGTAGCAAAAATCCATCCATCCATCCAATCCATCCATGTTTACGATTTTTCGTTTATAATATTAGTAAAATTTATTTTTAAGTTACAAAGCTTATAGGTTGTTACAAAGATTCAATTTTGGTTCAGTATACATAAAGGCAGTATGTACGATCTTCGACGTTCGACTTATAAAACGTAGTGTTAGTTGGTGTATGATACAAACTTAAATTTATTTGAAAATACACCCGTTTCTACGCAATCAATAGTCATTATTATCTACATAAATCAACCTATGCACAGATCAGATGAAATTAAACCTACGGCAGCCATAGGAGATGGCTTGGTTCTAGACATTTATTTTATTTACGATTAATATTTAATATAGCTTAAAATCCTATTATAGACTACCAGACTACCTATTACAAACCCCTACGATAGACTACCAGGGCGACATGGTTTATGATTTGAAAAATAAGCGGATTATAGCTGCTATAAGGAGTTAGCATGATCTCCACTAAGATATCTGTATATACATAAACATGTTAGTTAATTTGCAAAAATGGTATTTATTTCTATATACGCTACGTAGTTATTACGATAATAAATGTCTTAAACAACAATAAAACTCTGTTTCACAATGAAATATGCGCGGTGTTACTAGAAGTGGCAAAAAGGAATTGGTCTCGTTTGAGAAGATTTAATACTGCGGTCGACTGTACTTTATTGTGTTTTATTAGGCATCCCCGTTATCCGAATGCTTGGAAGAAAAGCGAACGTGGAGTGTGGACTCGGTTGCATATTTTTCGTTTAATTTATACTGACGTGCAATAAAATATGAAACATTATAGGGCTGTATTGCGATGGGGCTTTATGATTCGGATTTTGGGAATGAAAAAATGTTTAAAGTGTTATACAAATGTGGATCGTTATAAGGGCGTTAGTTTTTTGTTTGGGTGCCATAAAGTAGTAATAATAAAACACAACATTTTTATCTATTAAATTCAGTTTTGGTTCTAAACCATTCTACGTATCCTATCAGATACCTACCTCTCTGCTAGTACTCACAGTCATAAAAATATCAAAATCGGCGCAGCCTGCTGGTTAGAAGTTCAGTACACATGGAGAACAAATATATAGGTACCAATAAATGCGGGTATTACATAAAATATAGATTTTTTAATGGATGATGATGTTAACTACCATGTGGTACGAGTAAAGGATGAAGATGATGTCAGGTATCTTATATCCTCATGACAAATTCATCAGAAATCAATCGTGATGGTTTCCAGATAAGACCCGTATCCCGATACCCGTTAGTAACAAGCCTCTTTCCCCGCAGTACTGTGTATAAAAAAAATGTTTTTAGTTATCTCCATTAAAAAGTTTTTATTTAGGCCATGTTGGCTCTTTGCCTATTCGTATTATGTGAACCGATCCGAATCAATGAGCAAAAACAAAACGGCCTTCGCGCGACGAGCTTAGGCTGGTTGTTTTTATGGACTCGAACCTTACAAATGTTGCCAGATTTGTGATCTCCCTACATTTTTTTAAAGTAATATTAGTGGATATATATATAATAATATCTACAGTTTTCTGGAAGTTTTTAAACAAACATTGTTAAATTAAACATGAAGTGAAACGTTAAGTGAGATTTATAATTTAATAACTTTAATCCTACGTTAGTTATGGTTTTAGTTCAGTGTAACTGGTATGGCAAACAAGGTTAACCGTCACACACATGAATAGGATCGCGGATAACAAATGATAAGGTGAGGACTCTGGTAACGCCCATGCGTCGCTATTACGGAAACCTAAACTCTAACTCTCAACCCTGTTATATTACTGCTCAACAGAAATGTATTCATAGTTTATACAACGCAAATTTTGGTTGGCGGCTGAAATAGGTGATAAAAAGGTCGCTCTAGGGGGAAAGGAATTGTTAGTAATGTGGTCATGACCCCATTACTAGCAATGTACCATGTCAGGTTGACCTCCACGCGGTTTCGCCTGGAAACCATTGTTATAAATTCCTGGTGAATTCGTCACGATGGGCTAACTG